TAGTATTGATCTTTTTTTTCTGTTCCCTCTACTTCCCACTCCTGGCAGGAAAAGTGTCCTTGGGACTGGTCAATGGAACTGAAAGGACCAATTGTTTTAGATACTCTCAGATTAAACATTGTAGCTGGGTTACTTACCTCCTACTACTTGGAGCGACTTTGATTTTGGGGGCTGAAGTTTGAAATGAAAATATAATGGTGAACCAAACAGAACTAAAACTGTGATCCTCTCTCTAGAGAGGATTCTTCCAGAAGTTCCTTAGGATTCAATGTCTTTAGTCCTTGTGTCCACACTGATGTAACTAAAGATGGCAGGAAACAAGCTGGCATTTCTGTAGGGACTGTTTAAGGACAAGCATTTTCTGACTGAAATCCTGCCTTGTGCTCACGAAGTTGTGAAACAGATACCAACTTTTTCTCACAGTATTTTAAGAGATAAGGAAAATACAACCCCAGTGGTAACAGATGTTTCCATTTGTAGAACATAAACACGTTAGGAGACATCTGTTTTCTCTAAATGGAGAAGTCAGGAAGTGCTTTCTACAAATGCTGCCTGTTTTGGTTTTTACCACTCTCACGCATTCCTGTGCAACGGGGGCTTTACAGCGTGTGCTGTAGCCTTTAACCAACAGCAGCCTCACTCTTCTCTCCAATTGAAAAGACAGGTAGGAAAAAGTCTGAGCAACAGCTGAGCCAAGGTTCCATTGCAGTGATCAGAGAGCTTCCCATTTCTTTACATTTCCAGTGCTGAATCAGAGCTCTCCCCACCAAGGCAGGTGTAACACCAGCTGTAACAGCCCCCTTTGCCTTTCCCACCCGACATGGTGCTGTTTTCCCATTCCTGGAGTCAGCTCAGCACTTGTCAGAACCAGGACCTGGGAGCACAGCATGAAGTGATTGTCTGAACACACAACACGCCTGCTTGGTGCCTTTTATTTCAAATACCCAAGTGTTTCATTTCCAGCTCACCTTTGTACTGAGGTGGGAAGTTTCATTACCCCACCTTTGTACTTCAATGGGAAGTTTTACTTTTGACCATTTGACTTTGTTAGATAAACACGTCCACTTTTTATGTGTTGGGATAGAAAATGGTACTAAACCCATCCCTGTCGTTTGGAACATTCTATAAACGTCACTAAGAAACATCTCAGGCCTGTAAAGCACAAGGTTAGTAAGGCAGCAGAAACTCAGGCAATGACCTCACCAAAGGTGACTTGAAGCAACTCCCACTGCCCACAGAATCCAAGGATTTCTGCTGACACTTCCTTTGAGCATTTTAAATAAGAGCCTTCACACATTCCCTGAGCTGCCACCATATATACAATCTGATCCTTGCTTTTTTTCCTCCCTCTCTCCCTTAAAACAGCAGTGAATGGAATTGTTTATAACATGGAAAGCCTGGGGAATGGAGTCCACTGGATTACACTCCTGGTGAACAGTGATGGATTGTACAAGATGAGTCGCCTGTACGTCATTCCCGATGCCGCCTTCTTCCGAGTTCACATCCTACTTGTGGATACTTTGAACTGCAGTAAACCCTGTCCAGACTTTAAACTTGGTAAATAATTCCAGCTAAATCCATTCTGCTATTCCTCTGCATGCAGCGCCGTCTTAGTCTGCCCTAGTTTAATAGGCTTACCCTGGGTTGTTGTGAAAATCTGGAAAAAAAGCATTTCCTCAAAGTGAAGGGCTTTTTCCATCCCAGTTTCTTGAAACTTCCAGAAGAGAAGCTGGAAGAAGTCAGGTATCAGCATAGTCCTTTCTTAGCTTTATCCAGTTCCAAAACAACTGCAAGTTTTCAGGATTGCCAAAGCAGTTTAAGCAGGAGCTTAAGCTGATGTCTTTGTCCTTAGTCCAGTTTTCCTTCTAAATGCAAGTTTATCAAACACCAGTATTTGCCCCAGCAGTAAATCATGATGTCTGTGCAACAACCACCCACAGGTCCCAGGGGAGCTCCGGGTGCCGTTGTACGTTCAGGATGTTTCCAAAGGGCACAACTTCCCACCTGTTCCCGCCCCCCTCGGAGCGCAGGGAGTGATCCCACGTTCCCTGTGGCCCAGCAGCCTCGTTTGCTTTGCAGGGAGCAGGTACATCGTGATGGGGAGGATCTTCCACAAGCGCCGGGAGCTGCCGGCGGAGCTGCTGCCGGCCCTGCGCGGGCGGCTCCGGCCGGGCGACGGCTGGATCGGGAGCAGCAGCAGCTACGTGAGGAGGTTCAACAGGAAAAGGGATCACAAAGTGCAGGCGGCGCGTTCCAAGTGTCCGTAGGGTTCGGTGGCTCCATCCAGGACACGGGGAGCAGTGGGAGTCACCCCCCAGGGCACACCAGGCCAGGGCACCTCATGCCAGGCACCGGCTGCGATCGGACACTGCTTTGTGCTTCAGCAAACACGGAATGCCTTCAGCAGGCACCTCTGGGGGGGTTTAGCACAGAAGTCAGGCTAGGGAATGTTAACTGGTCATGGATTTGCTCCAGCTTTTTCAGAGCCCCAGGTTATTGTAGCCTCCCCTGCTGCAGTGCACTCCTAATAATCTGTAGTAAATGTACAGTTCTGGAGGCTTCATCCTCAGTGCTCAGCAACTGCACTTTAGAACCTCTCACCTTGAACACGTTTGATCTGTACACAGCTATGTCTGCTCAGGATGTCACACAGTTCTGCCTGAAGTATCACATGCATTTGATTCAAGAGAAACCAACAGCACTAAGTATCACTTGTATTGTTTTGGTCTCCTCAAACGTGTCTTTTGTGCTACTTCTAAAAATCACATCATTCCTCAAACAGAGCTGGGTGTTCACAGGAAGCACACAGAATGGAGGGTAACTATTTGAGTGTATGAACACACTAACTGAAAGCACATCAAGAACTGCACAACACAAATGCCCAATTTGGCTCATGAGTAATGGCACAAGTTCATTCCAAGGAATGCAGAATGAGCATGGACTGCACAGTGTGTGCCTGGTTACACAGGCAGTGCCTCCTGAGTGCCATTCCCCTTCAGAAATATCACCCAGCTTGTACTTGCACATCAGTAAAGTTACTTTTAAAATCAAAGATACAATCTTTTAGTACCTTTAATGTGGTGGGACAGAAGAACCTGTGAAAGGGCTGCAGAGGGAATCAAATGTTTGCTGTTCCCAGTCAGTGTTTGCAGATCTTAAGTCTGTAAAAGAAACTAATAAAATGTTCATGAGGTTCTGGTTTCACCATCTCCTGGGTTCTGGAAGGCCCAAAAAGCTTATGTTATTATATCAAACAAAGGCATCTCCTTGTTTGACAAGTTGGGGATTTGACAATACATATTTATATTAAGAAATGGAAAAAGGCAGTGCAGCTTAAAAACCCCCACATATACAGTGGTATGACATGACCTGTAACAGGAAGTAGTGGTTTCTATAAGCATTTTCTGTCTTGAAACAAAGGTAGTTCTGGCACATTCTACCTGTCACACATCTCTGCAGCTGCATTTAGTGTCACTGAAAAGCCACAGAGCAAGGGATGGGTGACAGGTCACACTGCATCAAGCATGTCTTGATATGAACCAAGTACCAAGAGCAAACATCACATATTTGGGACCCAAAGGCTGAGAAATTTACTCATAGTGTGGATCTACCTAAAAAGTACATTGTCTCACTTACTGCTCTGTGAAAGCCTTTGCATGGAGCACACCATGGATAGATGGAATTTTCCTGAGAGACTCTGAGGGGGCTTTGATTTGGCAGCAGGAATGTTCTGGCAGCGAATCTGAGCACTGGAGTGACTGGAACGGACAGGAGGAAGGAGGAGGAAGAGTTACATGAGCATCTCAAGTTTCTCTGTTTCTATTTCCAGTGAAGTCCAGGGACTAACCAGCAACTCCTCCAGGCATCCCCCCTCCCAGAGCAGCATCCAAGCCCTGTTCCCACTATTGTAACCTAACCCAGGGAAGTGTGGGTACAAACCCAACGTGTATCTCACTGTGATTGTCCCTGGGAAGGGATAAGCACAGGACAGCAGTGCTCAGCCCGAGTTCCATGCCAATAACTGACACAAAACACTCTTGGATAGAGCTGCTGCTCTGGGAGCCCGAAGAACAACTTATGCTGTGTTCCCTTTTTTCGTCCTCTTACCTTTCTATTCTTTCTTGGGAGATCCCTCCTTAAAATGTTCCCACACCAGCTGAGCAAGAAGCCACTGCATGTCCCAGCCCAGCTCAGACAGAGCTGGAGCAGGACTGTTGATCCCAGGCTCATCCCATACTAAAGGTACATACTCAATAAAAAAGATTTCTTAGGTCAAGAGTCTTTCACTCGCTATTCCAAAACCCTCACAGCAATAACCACAGTGAGAAGACAGAACTCAAGTCCAGCAGCTGCCACAGTAATTTTGGTACCTTACAGTTGACAGTTTTCTCCCCAGCAGGATCAATAGGAGAATTCTGCAGCCGACACACAGAAATCCAGGTGTACAGGAATATTGTTGTCTTCTTGTCTCTCTGGGGTTTACTTGAGGCTTTTGGCTCAGCTCAACTTTTCACTCTACTTTAAACCTCCATTAACTTCTGCATGAACTAAACCAGGACCGAGGGTAATTGCTTCAAATTTGAGGAGACAGAAAGAAAAATCAGGCTGGTACAGTTCACATTATCACAACGTTACAACACAGGCCATTTCAAAACAACTTGCAATAATTTATAAAATACAAAGAGGAGGAAAACTGATCAGAGACCACAAACCTTATGAACTTTATGCTTTAAGGCAGGTGGGGATTAATCACGAGTGATTTATTTCCAATAACACCATTTAACTGTAAAAGTTCACCACTAATAAATTGTGAGAAGTACCTTGACCTACTCCATGGCAATTGAACACACTAAAACAAGATCATATGGAATCACAATGGTTTGGGTTGGACAATTAATCAACAGGATTAAACTGCATGGATGGATTATATATGATCTGGCAATGCCAAGACCTATATCCCATAACATCATCAAATGTTTCATTAGAAACACCACCAAATTCATGTCAAACACATTACTTTATTTGTCTAGGATGATGTGTCCTATAAGGTACAAAAAAGTACTGTTCAGTTTGCCACAATTTGTTAAAAACAGCAATCTATTGCCTACAGGTAGGAAAGGTTTAAACCATGTCATATGGATTTAAGTATGAATAAATAGTCCAGAAATACTGAGGAGTTTGGATGAGATGCAGGATATTCCCAGTGCTGTGAACGGGGAGGTTTTTCCTTGTTGCATTAAAACACAATGCTTACAATATGCAGCATTTTTTAAAAAAACTTCAAAGGACAACATAACCTAAATGCAACTACTCTTCTTTGACTTTCAGAAGCATAAATGGATTATTGTTTCCACACTGAACAATTAGTAATTTTCACATATAGGTTAAATGACAACATTTGTATGTACAAAAACACACGAGTTTTTAGTAGATAAAATCCCCCCAGAAGAACCTGAACACCTGAGCTGAAGTGTAAGAAAGGGTGGTGAGCAGCAACACCTTTGTAAGAAAAATAACAGACGAGGTTCTTGCATAGCAAGGTGTGAGGTGAAACCCAAAAGGAGCTTATCCATGAATCAGGTAAATCCCAGACCACTGTGGAACACAAGTTGACTGTGAATTAGTGCAAAAGGTGGTCGAGGAGCTGCAGAGAAACCAGGGCTGGGAACTACAGACAGGTACCATGAGCAAGTCACTTGCAGGGGGGAGATGGGAAAGAAAACCTCCTCATCTGCAATTTGCATCTTCTTGGACTCCAGTTTATCCCACAGGAAACACGGAGGCAGCCCAGGACGCCTCCCAGGGATACAGTTACACGTGGTACTCCACATTCCCAGAGCACTTGGCAAACACCCCTGAATTCAGCAGTGGGCAGGGACACTTCACAAGATACTTCCTTACCCTGTTCCATCTGTTACAGTCATTCTGGCACCACTGGAGCGACATTATAATGGGATAACAGGTGCTTAGGAATGAACCCTGGTATCCACAACCTTGGGAGCAGTGGGATCCGACCTCCCTGGCCATTCCCACCCCTGTTCCTTGCAATACCTGCACTCCTGCACGGAGCCCACGTGTCAGCGCACACTCAAACACACCTCCGGCTGTGGGGAGAACAATGATCTCCATTTATTTTGTTTCATATACATCCATATTTTGAATTTTAATACAAAAGAAAAAAAAAATTAGAATCTGACAAATGTTTACAAACAAGATACCTTCAAATAGATTTTACTCAGTTCAGTCTGGTGCAGAGTAAATGACAAATTGTACTGTTATATTCAAGGCAACAGAGTCTGTAGTCCATGACCACTCAGCCCAACTTCTATGCAAGCTTGTTTTTATCTACCATGAATGATAAACTCCTTGTTGATTCCCAGTCCTGTGTGTGTGCACATGTGTACATAGCAGCTCCTTTCATAGAAAGAAAAGACATCTAGAGGTCTTCTTGTACTTTTACCTACAGGAATCATGTTAAGATACAGAATGGATTACATGGAACCGGGGCTGGATTTTATAAGAAAAAATAATTAGCTGACAAATGAGGGCAGCAATAAAAAAGCGTCTTTTTTGCAACAATAAATAAATACAGTCAAAGTTTTCTGTGTGGACTTTAAACCAGCTTCTTCACTGAAGAACAGACGTGGCATTTCCATGGAGTTAAACGTGACCCCATTTACTGTATCTTTTTTTCTTGCTCTCTTTCTCTCTCTCCTTCACCAAAACAAAGTTTTCCCGCTTCTGCCACAATAGTACAACAATTTGATCTTGACAAGAAAGTGGTGCTGCTGATTTTTTTTTATTTCTTTGTCCTTTGGACAAAATAAGCCAAGAATATAATTTGACTGTTGTGACCAATAAAAACGCAGTTTACATCAAGTCTTGTCAGGACAACCTGACTAAAAACATCTGGCTCCTTAATTAAAAATTGTCAGACAACCAGATCCTTGCTCGTGTGTTTGGTAACACGCTGAACTCTAAGAAGCTGTAGACTGCAGTTTGTTGTTATGGGACCTGCAGAATACAGAAGAAAGTGAACAATTAAGCACCCTTCAGTTTGGAGAACACAAAGTGTTGCCAAGGGTAAACCACAATAAAGGAATTACCACCACGTTGCTTCCACTTAGTTTTTTCCCCTTCAAAAAAAAAAAAAAAAAAAAGAAAAAAGAACACTTAAAATAATTCTCTCTGAATATTAAGCATGTTTTCTCCTACAGAATACAAATATTTCAGTACTTGGAAAATGCAGTGTGTCTCTGGAATATTCCAAAATGCCTGCCATCAGTTTTACTCACATATTTACATAATAGTAGTCCATCAAAAGGAAAGTAAAAAGACATTTTTAGTTGTGAATATTTATAATAAGATCTACTCTGCTTAAATTTATTCAAGAAGTCTTTGGATTAACTTAATAGAAAAAACTGAACAGGTATGTTAAAATCACATTTTTGCTAAGCAGAGTTCAGCAAAACTCCTCTTTGACATTCACAGTTTTATTAGTGACTTAAAATTAAACAATAAAATACAAGGTTTCCAAGATGAATTTTTCATTTTTCTCCATACAGTATTTGAGGAACGGGACAATTTGTGTTAATACAGTTACTTTCACCAGTGTGACTGCTGGCAACAAAAACAACAGTTACTGTTTAGACAAGTGAGCTGGATTTTTAGGGCAGTTTAATGTCATTGAATTGTACAATAAAAGAAAGTGACCCCAACATCCAGTTCTGATTCCAGTTAAAAAGTTCAGACTAAAGATATCACAATCTGCAAGAAAAGAAAGAACATGGATGGTATAAATGAAAAACAATAACAAATAAGATGCAGCAATGAAATCAGTGTGCAAGTGCTGGGTACCAGCTATGACAGTGACAGAAACATGGGCTGAAAACCACCTGACAAAAATCACTAATATGGTATTAAACTGAAAAGAAAAATGCTGGACTCATTCATTTGACTCTTCCCTTCTTATCTATCCTACTCTCATTCCATGTGAAAATCAGCTTGCACAGCAATGGAGAGAAAGTGAAGCTTTCCAAGGGATGTAACTCCCATGGATGTGCTATTGGGTAGGACAGGCAAGGAACAAAAATGTGTGGTAGAGCTGCATAGTTTTTTAAGGAATGTCTGTGTAAGGGAAATACTCTACAGTGGCCCTTCTACAGAAAAAAAAAAGGTAAGTTTAATTTTGAGAGGTAAATTTTGAATTCGGTTCATTTTTCATCTACTACTTTAAACTGTACTTATTCCCTCTGTTTCAAAGGTGGTGAGTTGTAAAAAGATGAGAGAAGGAGTAAAACCGAAGTATTTTAATTTCTTCCATTGGATTATAAGCTTCACAGCAGGATTGTCTCTTATTAGCATGAGAAGTATTTGCTGCAGAGTAGAACATCATCAGAACTCAGACACAGCATTTGTCCTGATCAGAAATTATTAAGTTTTCTGCAGGAATGAGTTAAAGTGTCACTCAAATTTTGTACATTTCTGATGCTGCCCAAATTTCTATGTAACAACTCCTTTTGAGCAAATATTCCAAAGTAACCTCCACAAAAGTAACCTCCACAAAATCATATTTAAACCTTAATTTTGACCAAAAAAATGATAGCTGGCTATTATAGAATTGATTATAGATTGATTTCCCTTTAAAAGCAAGTTGTCCAGGAAAGTGCACGGGGCAGCAAATCCCTGTATGAACGTGAGCTTAGAAAGGAGATTTTAGGGGAGAACACCCAAACTTACCTGCTTGCCTTAAATCCTTTTAGTTTCTGTACAAAGAAAGACTCGAGAACTTCTGCACACTGGTAAAAAGGGGAGTCACTGGGATTGTAGTAACGGCAGTTATCAAAAATTTTGGTCATATCTGCCACAAACTCCGTGACCTTTTTGTAGTAGCGTTTCAGGATCCGTTCTTCCATGGTGGCCAGGTCTTTAAAGAAACCAAAGAGTGCTTAAATGAGACATTTTCATCCTAAACAGAAGTCTACACTGTCAAGACTGTGGGAAACAAAGCCTTATCCAGGTTAGTTGCTGTCCCAGGGGTGCTGGGTGTGATGGTGGCCCCAGGAGATCTCCCTCACAATAAACACTTGTGCATGAACGTGTTGTGTGCAGCTGAATTAAATCAAATGCAAGTATCAGAATGACCTTGGAAAACTTGGGTCTCTTGCAGGAAGCTCCCTGCTTTTTCTGAAGAAATTAAGGGGGGGAAAAAAAAAGGTCAGATAGTCTGGATTCAGTTTCTGGTATTGTACCTTCTGATTATTTTTTGAATTCCCGACTTGCTCTGAATGAACTATCAATTCTCATGGGCATGTGCACATTACACATGGCACAGAGGAAAGATTTCAAGTGCAGGATCATGCAAAATGCCAGAGCTCTCATCCTTCCTGACCAGACACTTTAAAGAGACAGGTATGGTGAAGTGAGCAGTAATTGTCCTATTTTAATGCAAATATCCATTAAAAGAGGGAGAGGAATGAGAACTGCCAAATATAAATATAACTGTGTAAATGTCTAGTGGCACTTTTAGACAGAAAAACAACTTATCTACCCTTGGGAAAAGCCCTTGAAGTGCTTATTTTTAAATACCATAATGACAGAAAGTGTGAAAGCAACTGCAGATGGGCCTGCGTTACCTGGTGCATTTTACTCAGATTTACTTTTATACTTACAAGTATCTTTTCCTCCTACTTAGGTCAGAAAGAGCTAAATGCATTTTTTATTTCATTCAATCATCATATGCTTAATGATATTGTTATTTGAGCTTTCCTTATAAACTTTAACCCATCAGCTATGAAACGTGTTAAGCATTTTCATAACAGCACAATCCAAAAGCAGAAAAGGAGATAATTTCTAAACAAAAATATTGTTTTCAGTCAACATACTACAATTTTGCCAAGATGCTAATTTACCTTTCCTATTTCTAGGGTGAGTAAGGAGTAGGTGGGAAAGCTCAAATGATGCACTGGGTCTCATTTAGAGATATGAAAAGTTACTGGTCCCATAATGGAAGGAAAGGAATAACATTCCCAACAGCATTTCCCTCAGGAGGTGGATCTTCCCAGGTTTCACATTCAAGTGCTTATCCAGATTATTCCCAACTACCTGCTAAGCTCTAATGAGACCAGAGTAAAGCACCATAAAGCTGCAGCATCTCCCTCTCTTCTTTCCCCACATGCACAACATCTGAATCCATTTTGTTCCTACAAACAAATTACGTGGAATACAAAATTTAGTGCTCTATCAAGTCAGATGAAGATGATTTTAAACTCCATCTTAAGCTGCATGTCACACTTCCCTGTGTTAGCACCACCTTCTCCTCAGCCTCTGGAGTAATATCCCAAACTTTGTAGGTGCACAAAGACATAAAAAACCAGCAAAAGGAAAACATAACAAAATTGTCCTCTTTAAATAAAGCAACTTAAAAACAAGAATTCTAATCTATTGCTGCACTGACTTCCACATTTCATCTGGTGAAAGGAGACAGCCAGAAGTAGGTATCTTAACCCCCATGAACTTCTAAATATATTAATGAGAAATCACATTGTTTCACCTGCCTCACTGCACAAACTGGGTATTTTACAACATATGGTCAGAACTGGTCAGCAGGGAATTAATCTGGCATTCAAAAGCCCAAATCCCCTCACTCAGGCTCTTCTCACCAACACTTACCCATTGGTTCTTTAATGACACCATAATAATCTGGTGCATCGTTGGGATCTACTGGTTCTAGGAAGGGCCATGCCATCTTGTGAGCCTGGCAGGGAAACAGGACAGAATTAAAAAGAAAATTAAATTAGCACTATTAATAGCTAAATATTTTCATCATCCTTTTATCTGTTGGGGTCTAGAGTTGAATTTAAGGAAAAAGTGCAGCATTATATGAAAAAGTGACTAGTTCTCATCTGATGTTTTAAATGTCAATGACCGAGTAGTTGGGCTTCAAAACAGGAAATAATGTGAAATTCAGACATAACAGGATATTGTGCTGAACAGGCTGCATGGAAAAGTATGGAATGAATTTACTGAGAGTGCTTTCAAGTACTCAAAAAATTAATTTGTTTCCATAAATGTATGCAAAATATAGGACAACAAAAATATTACTTACAGGATTTCTGTTACCATAATTTTAAGAATTTTAAGAATTCTTAAAAATTCTTTACAGCTGTAGCAGAAAAAGCCTATTTGGGAGTGACAGACAAACCAGAAATATACTGTATCAGACAGTGATGTTATTCTTATTATCAGGATGCCATCATTTACATGCTGATAACGACCCCCTGTGAGAACACTGAAATCTGCTAACTCTGAATTACAGTGCAGAAATGTAGAACAGAAACCACAACAAAGTGATCTGAGAACAGAGCAATGCACCTTGTTCAGAAGAGAACATTGGACCTTCCACACCCTGTGCAGTTGGGTTTCCACTCTGCCCTTTGGGATTCTGAACCTGCTTCCCCTAAAAGCCTTTCAATGAAGACATTGCTTAGTTTCACTGACTCAGAAGCACTGATATAGTAATTCTTGTAAATATTCTTCAGCACAGTAATGTCAAGCAAGTTTGCAGCTGACCCAGTGGCATTTCTCACCAAAAAGCAAAGCTTTGCTACTCCCTCTTCATGAAGAGTTACCACAGAGAAACCAAACCCTCCTCCAAGGCTCAGGAGGGAGTGAAGCACTCCAAGGTGCTGCCATCCTTCTCCTCACCTGCAAGGAGCGCAGGACTCTCCTTAACCCTTCATAGTCCTTGTCAGTGAGGGGGCTGAGCACAGTCATGGCATCCTCTGTGGACTGGCACTGGGGACACACGTACTCGTCGATGAGATCGGCCTCGCTCTGCAAAATGCCAACGCAGCGCCCGTGATACCAGTTCTGACACCGGTCACAGCCAATGTAGAATCTGCAAGAGCCAAACCAAGTGTCAGTGCCTTCACCTCTTCAATGCCAGCTTTGCATTTAAACACATAAACCTGCAATCCCCAAGCAGATAACTTGGCATGATTATTCAATACAACAGTGCAACGTGATATTTCGGAGTGACAAATTCTAACGACGCTATTCCGGCTGCTCTCGTGTTTACAAACAGGCTAAATTACAGACCATTGCAAAACAAGCTCCTGAATTTTATAATAGGCACTTTCAAGCAATTGAGATTGCAAAAATCATTCTTCTGCTTTAGAGATGAAAGGAACAGTGGAAAGCCAGAAGTCTCACCCAGCCAGTATCCAAACCAATTCAAGATGCATTTTGCACAAACTGGACTAAAACTAGGGCTTGGTTCACTCCATACAAGCATTTTTCATATGGGAGCTTCAGTCTTGTAATTGAATACAGGAGGGGTATTCTATGACACAAAGCCTTACAGTAAAAGATGTATATTTATACATATATATATATATCTCTCATATACCAACCATACACCCCCACACTAAAATTATGTTTTCTAGCCAGATCAAAGCACAAAAAAATCCACTCAATACAGCATTTGTCATTTAATCTAACAATCCCTTGTTAAAAAAAAAATAAAAAAAATTATAAAGTAAAATAAATCCCAATTTAAATTCACGGTGTTTTGGCATAAAAACTACAACACATTTTGACCACCCTGAAAACTCCACTTTTCCTAAACATTTACCGAACAGAAACATTTGGGGGACCGGGGAAGGAGGGGAGGGGGAGAAGACAATTACCAGAAAGCAATTTTGTATTACGAATGAATACAATATATGCAGAATAACTCGGGTTTTTTTCTTTTTTATGCTTGGCAAGGAACAGGAAAGCACAGTCAGAGCAGTTTGCTACCTAAACATGGAATAAGAGGTTCTGATCCGAACTCACTGCGACTCATCATAAGGTGTTCTGCAGATACAGTACAACTCCTCACTGCTGCCCTCTTGTGCCCGTTTACACTCATTACAGATGTACACATCCATTTTCTTAGCCTCCTTTTCTGTGATTCCAACACATTCTCCATGATACCAGTTAGTACAAAGATCACAGCCAATATAGAACCTAAAAGTGTTCACAATGAAAATGACAATGTAATTGTCATTTCAAATGGCATGGCACTTTTCCCTGCGCTTCTCTCTGACGTACTTGCTGTTGGCCTGCTTTCTGTCTCAAGTTTCCCTGCTCCCTGCCCTTACAAACTTGTCTCATGCTGCAGCTAGACTGGCAGTAAGGTCACTTGGGTCAATTTTAAATTCAAATGCACATGTATTAATATGTACATAGTAATATATAACCAGAGTGGGCTAAAAATCTACTGTCTTCAGTGTGCATGTGGAAAAACTATCAAAGGCACAAAAAGACAAGGCCAAAGAAAAAGGTTTACATTTTCAAAATTGCAGCTCAAAAGCCACTGAAACATTTCCTTAAGGTTTGAAAATGTAGGTCTCAGTTAATTTAAAAAACAAAAGCGAAGCGCAAACACCAACTAGGAGTTACAAGTACACTACAAGAACATGCAACCAGCCATGTGTAGGTACTACTGGTACAACATGATACGAAAGAAAATGGGGTCAGGGCATGGTTGTCAATTTTAAATCTTGGTGGGGTATTTTTTTGGGGGGGGTGTGCACTGAAAAACTGATAATAAAGTACTTAAAATTGCGACAAAGTGGAATGTGGACCGTTCTGGAGTGAATAATGTCTCGTCTCAGACACAGCTGTGTGACAGAACCAGGTATGGTATGACACAAAGTGAAGGGAACCAGGGACAGAACCATGGGGATGGGACCTTGCACAGAATGATGTGACAAAACTGCAAAATATTATGCAAGGATGTTTGTAACTCGTGTATGGACATCTCAGGACACACCTGTGACTCGTGACAACCAGATGGGGACGGTGCACATCCATTCTCTCTGCCTGAGCAAAAGCAAGCGGACTGGGAACCTCCATCTTCCTGGATTTTGGAGAACACAACCCCCTGCCACGTGCTGCTGTAGGAATTCCTGCCATCCTGTCAGTCTGCAACACCCCTGGGACACCACACCAGCACCAGGGCAGTGCCTACCCCACGTTCCACAAAACAATCTCTAATTCCCTGGGCCTCTGCACACACCCTGGACACCCAGATCCTGCCTTTTCTCTTATATTTTGCAGTCAGGAAAATCCTAAAAGCAATAAGACATGACCCAACTTCCATAAAGAATGGACAGACAGAGGTTCTGACAACTCTCAACAACTCAGCCTGTGTTCCCTTCCCAAGAGGGGCTGTGGCTGCTCCTGGGGATGTGGAAGCAGTTTACATCCAGGTGTGGATGCCAAACCTTGCACTGGACTGTGGAACAGGTGTCACACCATGCTTTAACAAAGAAGTTGGATCTAAGTAGGAATCTTAGAAAGATATCTTCACTGACCATCCTCAAAAACAATATCAGCAAATCCCTATAGCCCTGGAGTATCACAAATGAGAGCCAAACATAAGAAATTTGCAGTAAAATACGCAGCAGAATTTACTACATCCAAAAAAATGTACAGGGTATTCATAAAATACCACAAATTCGCTCTTCAATTAGCACATGTATCTTTTCTGAAGTAGAAAAGAGACACCAGCACAAAGAGGAAGATCTGATGCCTACGTATGTATGAAAACAAAAAATGTTTCCCACAAAATTGTTTTAAAACTTGACTAATTCCTTTCCAAACAGGGAAAGGATTAAGGAGTTCAATGGTACAGCCACCATTTGTAAGAATATCAAATTTAAAACTCACAAAAAGCAGAGCAGCAGAGCTGAATCACATTGCTGAGGATACTACTGAGTTATTAACCTTTCATTTTCTTCAAGTTTTATTCAGTGCACTGAAGCACATGATTCAGGCTATCAAAATTCAGTCTGTGACCACAGAGTTAGTCTGACAATCAAATCCCTTTGCTCACAGAATTTGTTCCTCTCATTTTTGTGCCAGTTGTACCCCTCACTAACTGGAGGCAGTAACACACCTCTGTTCAGGATCACACCAAAGAACAGGGTCCCCTAAATGCACTGGGTGACAAAGCCTGACACAGACAACATTCCTTCAGTGATATTCCTTAGAAGTCACAGTGAATTCCCAGCCAGGGCATCCCTCTGCCCTTTCTGCAGGATTGGCAGCACTGGGAGCAGCCCCATTCCCCACGCTGAAGGACTGGTGGAATGGGCAGAGCCACTCAACAACCAAGAGGAAAATAACCCCTAAGACCTCAACTTCATTTAAAAAAATAATTAAAATCCACAAAAGGCTAGAGGGAACCTCAAGAGATCCCCTAGTCCTGGCCCTAACTTGGAAGGAAGAACCATTTCTGGAGTGAAAGCACCACTCCAGCTCTATGGTTTCTCTCTGTTATCAGCATTTGATCCACCACCAAATGGCAGCAATTCATACTTTTGAGTGTGAATCTGCTCACTTGTTGAGCAGATAAATACTCAGTTGGAATTGGTCTGAAGTCAGATTTATTTTACATACATCTCTACACAGCTCTCAGATGTCAACCATTACTAACTGCTGCTGTTAGGCAGGAATCTGTAACACTATTCCCTGGAATCCATTGGATCTCCCACTCCACCACTTACAACATTTCTTCACAAACTCTGTACGTAGCATAAATATTTGTCCTCATTCACAATCAGAATCAAACTACAGAGAACTGCAGTTTTCACTTTGTCAAATGCTTGAATGTTCATTTTATTTTTAACAACCCTGGGATGCAAAGTCTAAATGGAAACCATTTCTACCCGAAACATTGTCCAAAGTGAACTGCAGTCCAGTGGCTCAGAGCCCCCTTTACTGGCTACTGACTTACAAAAAAAAGTCTTTTATACTGGAAGACGGTACCAAAACTATTTATCCACAAGAAAATGCCCAAACCAAGTTGTCACTTGCTTCTGAGGCAGAGGCAAAACAGCAAAAGAAAGAGTAACAGAGCGGAAGGAAAAAAAAGAAAAGAGTATGTGCATGTGAGACAGGAAGGTCACACAATGGAGACATGCAAACGAGGAAATATAAACCACGAACAGTAACAGCATAAATCAGGTATGTTAATATTTGTAACTGCTAGTGGAAAATAGAGACTTTATTCTCTATACTTCAGTGATCACTGCAACGACCTGCCACTATCTCCAGTTCTAGCACTGCCTGGCACTAACACTGACACTAAGCCTACACTAAGAACATGCAGGAGGGGCTGTGGCATCACTACTCACTTGGACTCGTCGTAAGGCGTTTTACAGATGCAGTAAAGCTTTGTGTCCTTCTTCGTTTCCTTTGAGGTAGTAGAAATCATTTTCTTTTTCTTGGACTTGGAAGCCGAGGAATCCTTCTCCTCCTCTCGTTTCCTCTTCTGGGAGGACACTGGCACTGGGACAGTGGTGGAGGAGCAGGAGGTGACACTGGCTGCCTGCTGTGGTGGTGGCACTGGTGGCACTGGTGGTGGTGGTGGTGGGGCAGCGGCTGCGGCTGCGGCGGCTGCGGCTGCTGCTGCAGCAGCTGCTGCCTGGGCCTTTTCCTTTTCTTTCTTAATTTTAGTCAAGTCTCTCTTTAGCTCCTCCTGAAGTGTATTAAATGAATAAATAGAGAGGGAGGCACTTTATATGATTATTTCAAGACAGCATTACAGTCTAGGCAAAAATCCCCACACTTAAAGAAAAGAAAACAATTAAATCCATTTAAATATGCATTTTTTTCATGTTCTTAAACTGTAATTCACACAACATTAAGGGATGATACTCTTGGGCTACTCTGGCCCACTGGCTGTAAAAAAAACAAGGTGACTTCAGTCCACAAGAAAACCAAGAGGCATCCAAAGGACATAAAGTAGGTCGGCAGAGGATCCATAACCACAGCTTCTTCCTGCAAGTATCCTTAAAATCTCACTGAGCAAACAAAGGTTCACACATAAATGTTCTCCCCAGCTTAAAATCAAATTAGTCTTTGAGACTCTGCCCTTACCTGCACTTCAATCTGTAGATCTTTGTCCAGAAGTGCTCTTTTTTTCAGTATTTCAGCTTTCAGCTGTTCTTTGTGCTTGAAGAGCAGAGCTGAGAGCTTGGTGGCGTTCTGTTTGCTGCGCTTCTGCTCCACGCTCTCCTCTCGCTTCCGCTTCTTAGCTGCCTGTTTTTCTTCCTTGTCTATCTTATCCAGAATATATTTCATCACTTGGTTGCACACAATCATCCTAGGGAAGGAATAAAGAAAAGGGACATTGTGCTGAGCTGCCTGTTAACTCCCAGTTGAGAAAGCAGGATCAGGTCTCCAGTCACTGCAAGCTAAATTATCGTATTTCTTAAGATGCACAAGGTAAATTTAGTAACACACAGTGCTCCCACTCCTGCTTATTTACACTGCTGGGAGAGATCAAGACCCTTATTAGGCTCAAGAGGGCCTTAACTGATCTGAGTACTAATTGCTCCACAACTCCCTGCAAAGCTTTGGCTTTAATATGATTAAAGACATTTTCACTCAATCTGGTTTCCACAACCTTGTTTGAAAGAGCTGGATGTTTATTCTGATTCAGGATGAAAGTGAGTTGGAAGCCTGTAACTCCTAAAGCAGACATTTCCTCACTCCAGTGACCACCAAATCCTACTAGGATTTTGTGTTTTGGCCCAAGGACTGACAAATAGTTTTCACTGTATAAAATTCACTATAAAACAGTTCCCAATTTCTTCACTAATGACAGCTCAGGATTAATTTTTCATCTGTTTGCTGTACACTCAACTATAAATCTATTTTCCTGCTTATTTATTTTTGGAGAAGAATAAATCAGTGAGATGGAAAGACAGCTGCACCATGAACCAGGCTAGTTAGAACCTTTTTCTCTCCCCTTTTTTAAATTGGACTTCTGTCAGTCGAAATACCACTGTGGCTGTCTGACACCATTAAATGAGGAGAATATCCAACACACCTTATTCCTTATGCAATTGTCCACACTAAATAAGTAGTACCCAGTGATAGTGTTGTAATCAACTGAGCTTGTGATTTGATGATTAAAATCTTATAAAACACACTATTCTTTTTCTTAGTATCTGACACACAAACTTGTGATTATCTAATTGAAGCAACTGCAGGAGTGAAAAGGAGTCCCAAGGCAAATGACACACACTTCAAATTTCTGTTTAGCAGCTTCCAGCATAAAATCTCCCAGTTTGTCAAACTGTCTCCCAACTCTTCAGCTCCTTCTGCAGAGTGGGATGTGCAGAGGACAAGAATGGAAACAAATGGCCACGATAAAGGACAAACAAAAACCAGGCTTTTTTTTTGCAGCAGAACCACTAACTCTCCATTCTGTGCTCCTTCAAGGATGGGTTTTACTTTGAGTTTAAAAACTGTGGCCAGCTCCAAACATGATAAATAACATTACTTAAATAACATATAATCAAAATAAAATTGAGATTACACAGGATTCAATCAAAGTTAAGATCATTATAAGTGCTACTTGAAGCAATTTTGAACGAGCAACATTTCTTTAAGCAGGTTTTTACAAACCAGTGTTTTGTTATGCCACCATTAAAAGAGGTTATAAATGTAAAGCTTTCACATCTAGAGATTCACTGTGATGCACATTCACCTCTGATTTTCTTCCCTCTCAGCTGGAGTCAGCATCTTCTTCTGTTTCAGGTGTTCTATGACAGCATTCTGCTTCATAACCACCTGCAGGATGACACAGAATCCAAAATAAAAGATGAACACTTTAGCCAGTATTTCACAGTATTACTGGGAGAACCAGGACATTTCCTAAGTTAAAGAAAAGGAGTGTTATTTTTTTCACTCACTGACAAAATAAAGCTGATTTTATCGGGGGAGCAGTGCTAGTTTAAAGTAGTTATTTGAAAATTGAAAAAGAAATTGCAAATTAACATCCCACCCCCAGAGTAGGATATTTTGCTTATGTCAACTTTAAACCCAGGGTCTAAATGTAAATTGACTGTATTTCCTCAGTGACTGGTTGTTTTATTTTAAAAATGGTAAGAGCCTGATATATCTATTTTTTGGTTTTAAGCCCTGCAGCCATCCAACAGCTTTACATCTCAGACACCTCTTTGGAACCTCAGTTTTCAGGTAATGAAAGTACTGCACATGTGTTCTGACCATCAGCTCTCCTGGCTATGACCTGTCTTTCCTGAACTGAGAATAAAGATGGATTGTCCCAGCAGCCAGTGGTAAGTTGAATCAAGGTGACAGAGGAATGCAAACATGATACAAGTGACTCGATGTGCTGAATTAACTCAGAATATTTAATTAAATGGCCAAAAGCAATCCTGCACTAACTTCGAAAGAATCAAATTAACTGCCTATCAAATGTATTAACATTGTTAACAAGAACAGGCATTTAAAATGAGCTTTGTTTCATTCATTAAGGTTCAATTTCCTTCTGTTAACTTTACCTGTTTCTGGATAATGTCACTTTGATTAGAAGCCTGAAGGGTGTGCTCACGTTTAATTTCTATCTGTTGCTGCTTTTTCTTCTGTTGCTGCTCCCTGAGCTGCTGAACTCTGTGCAGCTGCTCCTGAACACTAGCTGCTTGCACTGTCACCACATTCTGAATCTGGTGAGCCTGCCCTGGGCTGCTTTGGTGGATGTGAAGGGGTAACTGCAGCTTGATCTGCTGGGGCAAACTGCCTTGTATCTGAGCCACCACCTGGGACTGCAGCTGGGAGAGAACTTGCACTCGCTGCTGAAGCTGAGGCACTGCAATAACTTTTGTTGGAGGCTGCTGAAGTTGCAGCTGAGGACGAGCTGGGGATTGCACAGGAACCTGATTTAAACTCGGAAGGGTTGAGACCTGCTGCAGCTGAGCTGGAATTTGGATGGGAGCAGGGGGCTGCATCGGGCTCGGTTGGTGGGTTGGAGTCTGCACCTGAGCTGGTTGCTGAGCCTGGGCTTGGGACTGGCCTTGGGGCAGCACCGCGGGCTGTGGCTGGATCGGGACTGGCGCTGGAGAGAGCCCTGGAGCCTGGGCTGGAGACTGAGCCGGAGATTTAGACGGTTGTGCTTCGGGAGGGACTGGAGAGTCACCAGGAGCTGGAGTCTGAGCCTCGGGCTGGCCCTGAGCCTCGGGCTGGGGCAAAGGCGGGGTCTGCGCCGGAGCCTGGGACTGCTGCTGGCTCGGAGGCTGTCCCTGAACTGGTGGCAGTGCTGATGCTGGCTGGGCCTGCAGAGCCTGCTTCTGCTCCCCTGTACCTGGAAACGAGGAAAACAAGCATTCCATTAACTTCAAATGGCACATCTATGAGCCTGACTCATTCAAACCTCTCAGAACTACTGTAAAGCTCTATGCAGAAATCCAACAGGCTTTGCAGTACACTTCCAACAAATTTACTGTAATAACAGACCCTCTCCAACTGCAGGAAAACTCTCATACAACTGTAATTGAAGCTTTTTTCTGCTGAGCAGAGCGATGCTTACCCGAGGTTGAAGTAGAAACCGTGGTTGTAGTTGTGCTGGCTGTAGTAGCAGCTGCTGGGAGTGGGGTGAAAAGGAACCTCTGAATTGTACCATTTGGCATAGCTGCTTGCATTAGTTGCTGTCCTGGGCCAGGTATTACAGTCACACCCTGAGGGATTAATTGTAGCTGACCAGTAGTCTGACCTTGTCCCTGAATTACCACAGTTAAGCCTTGACTGCCACCCTGAAAAAAAAGTTAATGTTGATGTATTAGTGATATAATTCCTAGACAGACTTTGCTGAAAATCAGAACAATTAGGGGTTTGGATTTCAGAATTCAATACTGTTACCACATACCATATCCCTAAAACCCAAAACTAGCATTTGAGATCATGAAATACTAAAATACACTTTCAACAATTCTATCATCAACAGATGACTGGGTTGGAGTTAGTTACACATTTTGTGAACCCATAGTAGAGAGTAAGGTCCCTACAAAAATTCTTCTGTGTCTTTGGTGTAGAAACTCACAGAATCCCAGAATGGTTTGGGTTGGAAGGGACCTTAAAGATCATCTTCCACCCCCTGCCATGGGCAGGGACACCTTCCACTAGCCCAGGTTGCTCCAACCTGGCCTTGGACACTCCCAGGGATGGGGCAGCCACAGCTTCTCTGGGTAACCTGTGCCAGGGCCTCCCCACCCTCACAGGGAAGAATTTCTTCCTGATATCTAATCTAAACCTGCCCTCCTTCAGCTCAGAGTCTTGTTCCACATAAAAAAAAATGTAACCTAGCAACCAGCAGCCTGTACATTACAATCATTCATACACATTATTTATAATTTGTGGAACAGGTATTGTGATAACTCAATGAAGTCTATTTTTAGCCCATGCTTGATTCTCAACTTATTTTTTGCTGACAGATTCTCATGATCTCAGCAGAAGCTTAAAGAACCTTTTCCTCCTTCACTTCCAGCTACTGTAATTTTTCCTCTGAGACTCTGAATAACATGAATGGAAACCAAATCTTCACACAAAATCAGAAGACAAGGAACGAACGTTCTGATCTGAAGGTCTGTGAAACAGGTCATCCGGAATAATTATGTCCCTTACTGCTATTAAACACTATTTTCCACACTGCTAAACAATCCTGATGCCAGTCACCTTACTGGGGAATCCAACAGGAAGCAATAGTTAAAACTTTCCAGGCACTATTCAAGCTTCTTTCAGCCTGTAATTACGCCAATGGTCACCCCAAATGAAGGTGACCCACAGATTGAAGAGCAGATGCACGACACTGCTGGAATCCAAAGGCTTGGGAGGTGTTGGCACAGTTGCACAGCCAGGGCTGGACAATGTTTTACCTGTCCTTGTGTGAGCTGGGTGAGCTGGGCCATGGTGAGCTTCACCTGCCCCTGCTGAGGGCGAGGGGGCTGCGAGGGGGTCTGTGGCTGCACTGGCTGAGGGGGAGTTCCAGAACTTGTGACTGTTTTCTGCCCAGCACTGGAAGCAGCTGTGCTGGTACTGGAAACTGCTGTTGAGACAGGCTGACCCCTGATTATCTGAGTCACCACTTGCTGTGTCTGACCTGTAAGGGAATAATGTGAGATAAGAAACATGTTTCCAGCATTTTAACCATAAGCACAGCAAACCTCCCAGGCCCAGCTTGCAATGGGGTGTGATGGTGATCACACAGGTGAAGCAGACACTGCAGTTTGCACATAAATTTTCTTCACAAACCATTTGTCTGGGTGATTGACTGAAAAAAGTCTGCAAAATGTTTTCTATTTTATTCAAATTTGCATACATAGGGAACACTTCAGACACTTAGCTTCTTCTTTTGTTTGTTTTTTTTTTTTTCTTAAAGGCAAGCTTTCTCAATGCAGAATTACCCTAAATGTTTTTAAGTTTTTTCAGTTGTTTTTTTGGTTTTTTTGTTTTTTTTTCCCCCAAATGAATGGACTTATAAGTACTAGATTTCCCAGTGTCAAAGATGAAACACAGTGACAAAGCCTGCAACCAACACATTCAAAAGCCAAAAAAAAAGGCACGAGTTAAAAGTCAAGAATCAAAATGAGGGACATAACGATACAAAAGGAGTTTATGAAGAAACAAACCACGGATTTGACACTGCAAATTTAAATATTAAAGTGAACCTACTGGCTGGAAGAATACCTTGTTGCACCACTACAGGTGTTCTGATGATGGTCTTCCCAAGGGTTGACTGCTGGAGTGGTGTCCGGATCACTGTCATTCCAGGGCGGAGCGGTGTCCCTGGCACTACCTACGGACACCAGAGTGGAGACCACGTGTAAACTTGGGAAAAAAAACCCTGGGATATGCCCTGAATGTTTTTTGGTGTGTGGTTTGTTTCTGGTTTTGGTTGTTTTTGGTTTTTTTTTAAATATAGTAAGAAATAATAAGATAGAAGCAGCTCCAATATTTTTTCACCTACGCCCACACTAGTTTACCAAGCTCAATTAGTTTTTCCAACTGGAGAGAACTGTTGTACCTCCTTGGAAAAAACATTGAAAAGCAATTAGACAGAACTTTTGATATCTGTCAATAACTTAAAAAATCTTGGCACCCCCATTTTTTTGGAGTTAAATAATCAGAAGAACATCTTACTTGTGAAGTGCTTGTTGTTCCTAATGTCCCTGTGGTGTTTGGCCTAATGGTTACAGTTGCTGTCCTTGGCTGGAATGAAGTAAAGGTTTGACTTGCACCTGTAGTTGATGGAATGATACCCAATACCTTTTGCTGAACTTGAACCACACCTAATTAAAGAAAAATTGAGAAGTCATTAATGACAGAATGGCCAGCAAAAGAAGTCAATGCAACTCCAGGGTGGCATTTAGAACTCAGTCTCCAGGTTTCTAGAACACCTTTGAGCATTTCCTGGGAGAGACTTTGTCATATTGTAAAAAGAAGCAGCATGATACTTTGTCAACAGTCCAACTACATTTTAAGTTAAGAAACAGATATTTTAGATAAGATTAAGGAAAGTGTGAATCTTCACAAAGATCAGTTTGATGGTAACTGCAAAGAAGTCCTTGCATTGACAGGGTGCCACAAATTAGTGTTATACAACCATTAAAAGCTATAATCTGATTAATTTCAAATGTAGGAGACCAGTTTAAAATCCTTCCACCTACAAGTTTGTGGTGTTGAAGAAAATGAGCAGTTTTTCTCCTGTCACCTAAGAAATTTCAATACAAAACCAGCAGCCTTCATGATTTGCTCAGATATAAAGTATAATGGAGACAGAGAATTGAGCTTTTCCGTCCAATACACATACACAAATATCAAAATATTAAGTCCTCTTCTCGAGCTAAGATGAAAAAATGCTAATCTTAGTCTGGATCCAAACTCCTGCTCATCAGTGAAGAGCAGCTGTAAGCATTAATAACTAAAAACAGCAGGGTTTTTTAATGAAGAAAATTGTTTTGTTGATTTAGATAACAAAAAAAAAAGCATGCTTCATTCCACATTTCAAAACAAAGCTCCTAATTTTGCACTAAGAAATGCAGAATAATTTACAGGCAAAAAGACTTGCATTTTTCCCCTTACAGACACAAATATGCAACATGGCGGGGGGGGTGGGAACAACCTCTAGAAACTTGTAATTATCTCTATAATTTTTCCCCCTTCAAGTCACAGTTGGGAAAATAGTGTCAATGGAGAATTAATCAGCAAGCTGGAATACATTTGAATTCAGTTCCCTTTCCCTACCTCCTTGAGTTGATGGCACATTGACGGCAACAATCTTGCTGTTTGCAGGGAGTGGCAGCTTAGTTATCACTTTCCCTGCCATCGTTACTGGGCTGCCTGAGAGCTGGAAGGTCTGCCCTGTGCTGGCAATGGTTGTGGCTGAGGTGGCAGCTGTGCTAGTGGCTAGTGAGGCACACAGAACAGGCAGGTTTAGAGCAGAACAATTAGTCAGTGAAATGACTGGTTTTTTTTCAAGTATGAAACAGCAAATTACAGGATGGTTGTTACTTTTTTTTTTTTTTTTTTTGGAATGTGTCATGCTTGCTTTGGTAAAGATTCTGTTTTGGAAACATTATGGTACACCACAGAATGATTGCACTAATGGTTACTAGGACAACTGTCAGGAATTAATGAGACAGGTCAGAAATAAGACTTCCTAGCAAAGAAAAATGAGACAGGTATCATCTCAGAAATGTTCTTGTGGCATAGCAAGAGTTAAGAGCAAAGATAACCAGAAATGTAATAATGCTGCGTACTCTGGAGGAGATGTGAAGTTTATAGGATGTGATGTTATAGGATGAACTCCAGCACATGTTCTTCCCATGCTAAATGGCCACTTACCTGTTGAAGATTGGCCTTGTTTAACCCAAGTAGCAAAAGTCTGATGGAAGTTCTTGTTCTGTTGGAATGTTACTGTGGCTGGAGAACCCACTTTAGTAGTCAGCACTACTTTGGTTCCCGTGGGGACTGGGCCTGCCAAGGGGCCCACCACGACTTTCTGAGGAGTGGACACAGTGGTGGCAGTGCTGCTGGATGTGGTGGCTGCAGCCACCACCCCTCCTGCAGGGATCTGCTTCTGCTGCTCCAGCCGTTTCTGGGGGATTAAGAAAGAAAATGGAATAAAGGGATAATTAGCATCTTCGGATTTTGCAACATAAACACTCTACCCAGCATTGAAAAACAAAGGACTCTGGTAGGATTTTAGTTCAAACTGTAGAGGATTAAAGAACAGGCTTCCTGCAGAACTCCAGCTCTGCTCAGAATACACAGCCAGAAACTTTCCTTATAGCAACTTTAAAATCCTTGGCTTATGCTAATTTCACTGCACATTTTACTTTAAGGAAACTCAAAATATTAGTCTCAAATTAATCGGAAAGGTCAAAACTTTGAAAAAATATCCATTTATATTTGGCTTTGACCGTGTGTGTACATCTATGTCAGTAAGTGGTACATCATCATCAACACAGAGTTTACCATTTACATTCCTGAATTTAGAGCTTCCTGCACGTTACAGGAAAACACAGATTGTATCATTCTACCTCACCATTAAGAATGCAATTTTAAAAAATATTCTTTTAAATGTAAATCGACTTTGCAGCCTGCTGAAAAAAATTAGCTTCAAAATCCCTTACCTTACCCAGACACCTTCTGTGCTGTAACTGTTGAGAAGTTACATTTAATTCAGAGAGCCCCTTTGTGAAGGGATAGTATCAGTAAGCTCTTCTAAAATTTCAACTAATCTCACATTTTTCCCTTTGTTACTGGAATTATCTCTGTATTGATTAATTTAAATTCCAGTGTTTGGTTAGTAGTGCAGTAATGCCCACTGAATTTCTTCAGGAAGATGAAATGAAAAGGAGTGAGTTGGAAAAAAGCACAGTTCTTAATAATGTATGTGAAATACCAACATGGTGTTGGGTTCCCTAATTTTAATTGCATACATTTATATATAAATACATATACATATCTTCAAATAAAATTATCAAGGGGCTTCATCCAGCCAACTTAAGATAGAATAAAATCAAAAGATTCAATTTGACTGAAGCATGAAATGCAGTTGTATTCCCAAGCCAGCTGTATTCCAAGGCAGCTTTCCATTGCACACTGATGACCTTACCTGGAGATTGGTGCTTCTCAGCCTTCTTTAAAATGGAAGCAAACTAAACCTTTTTAAAGCGTTATAAATTAGGCAGAAAAAAAAAAAAAGGCAATCCAAGACAAATTTTTGCTTTAAACCTGTTTCAAAATAACAAATGTACAGCAGGAGCAGCATTGTTTGATGTTAGTTTGCAGTATCACTATGTGCAAAATGGTGTAAGGCAAGCATAAAGTTAATTCCCCGTTTATAACACATGTGGTGACCAGTTGCTGACAGGTGGAACACCAACAGCTCCCCACCTGCTGGGCAGCCAAACGTTGGTGTTTTAGCTGAGCCTCCAATTGGGCCTTGAATTCCTCTGCCTTCTTCTGTTCACTAACCTTAGCCTGTTGTTCAACTGCCTGTGCCTTTTCCTTCTCCACCCTGCCAAAGACACAACCAAAAGTAAGTTATACCAGCACAGAAAATCCCACCATTGAACTGGATTTTGTTTCATCCAGTTTAATTCCCTTAGAAGTACAACTGTCAAGACTGAAGAGCATTGAAAAACTGGTCATGGCTTTAAAACTGGCTTTTATAATTGCATCTGAGACTGCATACAACCTATGTAACACCATTAATTTAAAATTACTCTTTCCAAGAGACTCAAAAAGGTTGTTCCAACTCTTAGCACAAAATACTTAAAATATCTTATAACTTGTATATTCTCAGGCTGAATTTACCTTCACTTTACTTGTACACATTCATTTTCTTTGGATTATAGAAGTATTTAACACATATGGTATGGAAAAAGTCATGCCAAAAGCAGCCTAATGCCTTTCCAGGCATTACAGTAAAAACCTTTTAGCATAAACAGTGATGAGTTCATAAGCATGGAAAAATTAATGTAATATTACTTCTAACAAATCTGTAATATCTGCATAAATTAGTTTTGGTACCAGCAAATAGTTCAGCTTGACAACTTAAAGCCTGACTATCAAAAGGCACAGTAAAAATACAAGAGATGTGCTTTTACTGATCACAGTGACCAAGTTCGTGTTCTCTAGTGGGAACTTTGATTTAACAATCACACAAATTAAAGCTGCTTTCTTTAAAAGCTCACTTGAGTTCATTTACCTTTCAGCAAATGCCCTGATCTCCCACAGTTCCAACTCCTCCTCTGCTACCCAAGTTTCCATTATTACAGGGCCTGTTTGCTTGGGTGTTTCTGGCCTTTTTGGCCTGAGGGCACTTGATCGAAGTCCCTTCCTCTGGGGTGTTGGAGTTTCTTTAGAGAACAGTCAAAACACACACATTAAGCTCAATGGTAAAACCAAATAAAAGTGTAAACCAAGATTTAGTGTCTTTTTCAGTCCCATTTTATGAACAGGGAGGCCTTTCAGCTTCAGATAAATCACATCCCTTTGTTAAAGGCATCATTTGTTTCCCACAGGTGAATGAATAGCTCATGTCAAGCTGTGTTTGCTCCCTTCATGGTCTGAATTAACATAAAGATCCAGTTACCTTAATTTCTGTAGGAGATTAGAGGGAGGGGGAAAATGTCTCAACAAACATACCTTTTGGAGCCTCTGGGACACCAATGGGACAAATAATTTTTCTTATACAGTACTCTGACCGGATTCCATACGGACCAACGTCTCTCCTCTTGATTATTTCTGTTGTTGTAATTTCAGTTTCAGTTGTTTCTACAACACATTAGTAACAGCAACAAATAAAGCTAAATCTCCAATCAACCCAATATACTCAAGGTAAAGAAACAGAAACTAGTAAGAATTCTTGACTAAAGAAATTCGAATGCCACAGCTGACTTTAAGCCCTTACAGAAATACTCAAAATTAACAGCAAGAGCTTTAGATAAATACTCAAAATTATGAGCTGCTTTAAGAAATCCTGAAATTTAAAGTAATAATACCTGTCCTTGTGGTTCCTCCCCCAGGTGGAGCTTTTGCTGCCATATCATCCCACTTGAGACATGCCCAGAGCAATCTCAACATCAGGCTCACCCCAGCCAAGGATTTGACTGTTTGGAGTCGGTACCTAAAAGACAGAGTATGAATTATATCTTAAAATCAAAATGTATTTAAAAATACCCACCCAAACTAAAGGGAAAAAGGTTTTCCATTCTACTTTTAGTGAACAATATAGGAAATTACTAAATAATAAAATTTGTGTGTTTTGGACACAAACATGTATTTCACTCGTATTTTAAAATTCAATTAATTTCATCACGTCCTAAACTCTTCCTCAAAACTGTAAAGTATGTACCTCCAAGTGATCCCAAAAGTTGGTCTTGGGGATGGATATGGCCAGATATCCAAGGCAGGCTTTGCATTGTAATTGAAATAGGGAACCTCTCTGATCCCCCCTCTCCTGGCCAGCTTTTTTAAGTCATCATTGGGTAAAACAAATATGCTTTTTTTACTGCTTTTGGTAACAAATTTTCTATAGGATGGTAAGGCAGTTCCAGAACGAGTTTTTTTGGGTCTTGCAAACTTCATTAGCTTCACTTTGTCTTTTGTGGAATATTCCTTGCTGACAGTCATGGAAGTCACCAGTGTGCCCTCCGGGGTGGTCAGGGAGTCGGTGACTGTTGTTGTCACCACTGTTTTACTGTGCTCCTGGACAGAAATGACATCAGTGTTGCTGTCTGTGGCTGGAGTGGTGAGCTTGGTTACAGTGGTGGTGGTGGTTACAGTGGATATGGCACAGTTTTCTGTAGATGAAACCACCGTGGTTTTCTCCTCACTGGCAGCTCCCGTCTCCGCCACCTTAAACACCGTTTTGGATTCCGTGGACACAGTTGAAGTCGTGGTAGTCACCTCAGTAATAACAGTTTTTACTTTACTTTCCCCATTCATGTTTTCCATCTGATGTGCCTGGACCCCGTTCCGGTCAGCGAAGTGACCGCTCAGGCTGGATTCCTCACACGAGGTTACAGGCGACGGAGCAACTTTGTTCTCCTCAGTGACCTCAGTTTCCATGGATTCTGTCTCACTACTCAGGGTCTTTTCTTTACAGACAGTCTGTGTTGATGGGGAAGCAGAGCCAACACTGGCAGATCTCTCAGGAGAAAGCTGGTTTTCTTCAGTTTTCTGCACATACTTGGGAACTTCATGTGGTGGCTGAAGACCCTCTCCAGACTCAGGTGAACTCTGCAGATGTGACTTTGAGGCCACATTATTTTTGTCCTTTGTGTCCTCTACCATGATGTCACCATTCATGAATGGTTTCACTGAAGATTCCTTAAAAGTCAATGGTTTTATTTCATGTTCTGGAATGGATTTATTAATATTATTAACTTTTGGTTCAATATCACCCCCTGCCTTAGCTTCACAGGTATCTTTCACCGAGCACTCATCATTTGATAAACCTTTAATGTCACTGTCTTTTCCATTCATTTGAAACAATGATTTTTCTTTTTCTACATCTGCCTCAGTTTCATCATCGTTATTATTCTTTTTGTCAGTATTTACATTTGTCTGATCATGATATTTGTTTATGGTACTTGTTTCCACTTTCAGTTCCTGACCTTTCTTTTGACCATTAGCCTCAGTTAGTTTGGAGCTCAGTAAATCCTCGTTAACATCTACCCCATCCATGTGCTCCAAAGTTTGACTTTCCAGGTTTCTTTCAGAAATCAGCCCTGATTTAAGTGGTTCTAGGTCTTTATTAGCTGATTTTTGGTGAAATATGATCTTCTTTTCAGATTTACTTTCAGTCTTTACAGAAGGAATTTCTTCCTCCATTTCACTTTCTTGAGAGGACGTCGTTTCCATATGGCTTTTTGTCATACAATTGTTTTCTGGATCTTTGCTCTGCTGCTCAGAATTCCCTTCTGAACCTGGTTTTTCAGGAGTGGCCACAGCATCTCTTCGACAGCCACTTTCAGGTACCACTGGCCCTAAGTTTTCAAGTTCTCGCTGAGATACTCTGGTAACAGGTAGTTTTTGTTCCAAAGGTTCTTCATTTGTTTCTGAAATGTCCCATTTGATTTTGCCTCCTGCACTGGTTTGCTTCAAACCATCCACTAAAGAACTCTCAGACTCCCCAAGAGCCTCTTGTCCTCGACACTTATCAGCAGTTGTAGGTTCAGAGTTGTTTTCTTTACCATCACTGTGAATGGAGCTTTCTCCTTCAAAGGATTGAGGTGAGCCTTCATCCAGTAGCTGCCCTTCTCCTTTTGACAGCCTGTTTGTCAAAGGTTCCTCCTCCTCACCAGTTTTGGTAGAGCAGATGCTGCTGATGGGCAAAGAGTCCTGTTCTGCATCTTCAGGCTGGGTCTTATCTGACATGTAGGTCTGATCTTGGGAGGAAATGTCAAACTGGCCTCCTTCTTTTCCTTTCCTCTGTAGCTCATCTGTGTTTTTCTGGGGGCTCACAGACCGAATGCCCCCAGTTTTAGCACCAGCCTCCAGTTTCATCTTCTCCAGGCGTTGTTTTTCCTCCAGCGTGAACTGTTTTATTCTCCGCTCCAGAAGTCCGTCTAATTTGGATGATTTTACTTTCCTTTTGTAGCAAGTCCTTAAATGAAAGCCCTCACTGACATTGATTATATCCAGCTTACAGTGACTGTCCTCATCTTTCATGGAGGATTCAATTTTCACATCATCTACATCCATAGGTTCTTCCTTGATGACTTTATCATTTTCACCATCGATCTCCTTCTCCGCTGTGAAGAAGAAACAACTCTGAGTCAGTGAGGCCCCAACAACGGACACCAAACTCTATTTTTACATAAAGTACTAAGAAATAAACAGAACTTTTAGCATATTAATAGATTTCAAGGAAAAAAAAGAACAAAAACTTCAGACACTATTACAATGGATAATAAGCACCGAGACACTTTGATGTCTCGACAAAACGTGTTACACAGTTTTTCAATAGTTATTTCTGAGGTTCCAGGCTTTTAATTGTGTAATGATCAGGTAGTTTTACAATAACAAAAGATTATCACCTGTGCCTTTTGCCTGATCCAAGTTTTCAGAAATTGTATCAACTTCTACTTTGTCTTCAGGCAACTTTTCTTCTTTCACTTTCTCCAAGGTTTCTGAAACATCTGCTTTGTCTTTTGCTTGCACATCACGAGAATCCTTTGCTCTGTCTTTCTCTGTTTTTACCTTAGTGGGCCCTTTTCGTTTATCCAAGTTGCATTTTTCATCTTCGCTCTTTGCTATTAACGAATTAATTAAATTATTTCAATTATTCAGAATTTTTTCTGTACTCTGCCACACTGTCATGTATGTTAATTTAACCTCTCAAATCATTTGCACATCATTAGTGAAACTCAGAAAGAGAATTAAGTATGCAGTGGTAACATCACAGGTTAAACTTAGTGTAATACTGAATATATATACACACCCCAACACTTTAGATGTTACTTTTTGGGTTTGATTATCTACACAATTTTGATCTACCTTTAATTTGGACAAGCCTATTCAAAGCTGTACAAATATTACACACACCTTCATAACTGAAACAATTTAATGTAGCTGAAAATATCTGTGACAACTGAACGTGTTACACTGACAAAGATTAGCAAATATCCACAAAAGCTTCCCTGGAACATTATTCCTAAAGTCTGCACAAGAAATATCACATACAGATAATTAAGTGTAATTAAAAAAATGTGTAAGCAATGCAAACACTTACTTGATAGCAATTTTCTGTAATTTGCATTAGTATTTCCTGGCAGTTTGGGCATAAACCTGTGCACATGGGTTTTACTAATCCAGCTCCAGCCACCATATCCTGTTACTCTGTATTCCTCTCCTTTTTGCTTCCAAACCTGTCAATATTTTTAAAATAGTAGCATTAATGATGCTATTTGCTGCATTATTGTTTACATTTTAAAACCAAAGATGAATTAAAAAAAAACAACTTTATTTTACAGACTTTTGAAGTATACTTGTGAAATAATATACTATCTAAATTTAAAGATACATCTGTTGATAATTCAATTGATTCTATCATAGTAACATCTAAAAATCTTATTTATTTAATGTAATAGTGAGAATCTACCTAAAAGCTGAAAGATTATAGCAGTTTTTGAATCAACCTGTACGTTTGTTACAAGAAGTGCAGAGCAACAAACCACTCCAACAAAAGCAGTTAATATCATTTGTAGGAGAATATAAAGAGGTTTCTATAGTAGATCCCATCTCATTATACAACCTTCCAAAGTACAGGTAGTGGATTTTTTGGGAAGAGGGAGGGGAGCACTGGGCAGGGACAGACCTATAGACTCCAGTGACCACCCAGAACCTTCCAATTGGAAAAGCTGCATCTGGCAGACAAAGGTGTCACCTCAGGCAGTGTCACTGAGAACATCACACAGATCAAAGGCAGTTCAGGCCAAGATTATGTGCTTGAATTCATGGGCAGGGAGTAACACAAGGACATTAACACAGTTAAGTTGAAAATGCAAACAGAAAAAGAGTCAGAAATCAACCATTTCTGTATTTTCCTTGTTCTTCCCACAGAAGGAAACCTCACCTGATGTTTGACAGGAAATGTGTACTTCACCCACGTAGCTTGCTGCATGGTTTCTTCTTCCTCTTGTTTCCTCTCTTTTTTTTTCACTTTCTCCTTTTCTTCTCTTTCTATTGCTGTCATTCTGCGTAATCTAACCCAAACAGATTTAAGTGCATTTAAGTACAGGATCTTGTAAGCAAATATAAAGAAGCCAACAGCACATAGTGCCCCTTTAAATAACTTTAAATATCTGAAGTTTAGAGGAATGCCCAGAATCAGGTTTTATGTATTACTTGCAACAGTGACACCACTTTTTGTGGCTATTCCAGTAAAGCAAACACAGCTGCCTGCAACTGTGTCTAATATCAGACACATCCATTTTCTGCTCCTATGACACCAATGGGAGACAAAAACCAGACTTCACTGAACTTAAGAGTGTTGAAATTTGCTTTTCTACTGCCCCAAAGTTTTGGCACTTTGAGACTGTAGCTCAAATAAAACAAACACAGGGGCAATGACACTATAAAAATGCTGTCATGCCTTGTCAGTGTTTCTGGTTGAGAAAAAGCACTTCAAGGGCTGAATGACTGACTCAATTTAAACATAATTCTTAGAGGCTTAGAGGAACTAGTAATTGTAAACCAAAGGAAGTTCTCATATTCAAAAATATTTTAATACGTATTAATTTTACCTTGTGTGCCCCAAGGATTCCCTCCAGATGGGCAGCATGACAACTGGTTTAATTGCACACTCCAATATAGCCAGTGCTAGTGCAAATTCTCTGGGCTTGCTGCACATCTGAACAGCCTTAATCCAGTTAGACCTAAAGTGGAAAACAGAGCAAAACCTGAAACATGTACATCACTAATACAGTATATTGTGTTAATAGGTTTAATGGTAGGATAAAGACTCCTATACTTCAATATTTTAGTCAGATGTACAATTCTTTTAGCCATCTACCATAAAGACACATTATCTTATATTTTAATATACAGAAGCACTGACTTGAAAAAATGAAGACCATTGCTTATTAACACTGTTAGCAAAAATGAAAGTAAAACAAGAGAATATGTATTCCCACTTCTTAATTTACCTGTGGGAAGCCCAGTTAGGGTGAAGGAATGAGGCTGGGATGTTGTTTTCCAGCTGAATAATGGTGAGCCTCAAGGTGGAGATGGTCAGGACTTTGGAGCCATGCACAGACCCGTTCCACTTGAACTCCCCAGCTGGGGTCAGGCAGAATTTATGGGAGAGGTGTCGTCTCTTGTCGTGGTCCTCCCTGTGCTGGTGCTTGTTCAATGCAAAGGAATTGGTGGCATATTGGTTGTGATAAACTCTGTACTTCCCCTCCTGCCCCAACTTGAAGTAATTGTTCATATTTCCTTTAATCACAACGTCCTTCTTAGTGTTCACTCGGGAGACTTCGCCTTGAGAGTTCACCACCAGGACCTTATGGAAGAAACAATGATTTTAAAGATGCACATTTAAGTTTCCAATATTTCTATTTGCTTATTTATGATTATTTACTTATGATTTAGGCTTCAATTGTCTATCTGTAAAAGAATAAAAACACCCTGCCTCACTTTGTAGAAGCAAATAACTGTTTATCCAATATATGTACTCCATCACTGATTGTAAACAGAGTTAGGATATTCCCAGGATCAACTTTAACATTAAAAAAAGGCACTATCCAGGTTCCACAGTCCAAACAGGAACCTGTTTTTCTGCTCTGAATTATGCCTATGGAGGGAGAGAGAGCTTTGGGAAAACAGCTTCACTAAACTCAGCCAAGCTTTCTGTGAACCCCCTCCTTGGTACATCACACAATTCAGACACAGAGCAAAGCAAACAATTATCTTGGACTTTGAAAACATGGCATGGATAAAGTCACTGGTCCAATTTGTTTCTCAACAAATACACTAAATGCTAACTTCCTATGGAAAATCAGTTAACAAAAATAAAATTAATACACCAAACAATATCCAACGAACCGCAATGAACTCCCAACAGTCAAACGCTTCCTTCCTGGACAAACTGGGCTACTTGAAAAAACCAGAATCAAAACAAACCATCCAAACCCCAACAAACGACCCACAGTGACACAAAACATTTACACCAGTGCATTGGGTCACTGTCAGATCACTCTGCAGAGAGCAACCAAGAGAGCACAGACAAAAGACAAGGAGAAATAAAGCTTCCTGTGACAGTATAATTTCATCATTTGCTAATCTATTATTACTGCTTTTTATGTACCTCCACTGCCTGCCAAAATCACTTTTTGATTTTTAAATAAAAGTTTACTATTATTTAAATAAATTAGCATTTCTCTAGAACGTTTTTTGCACTCCTTTGAGTTTTCCAAGATGTGAACAAACCTCTCTGGTTTCTTTATATAACTTATTTGCTTCCTGTGCTGCAGCAGCAACCTGCTGGTTTTTCATCTGGCTCAGTTTGCTGTCTGGATTCCTCAACCTGGTGAGCATTCGTGTAGAGCCTGGTGTGCCTCTTCCTGCTCCTGGAGAATCACTTCTTTCACCATTAGATTTCTCTCCTGCCCAGGAAAAAAAAAAAAAAAAAGGTTTTTAAAACAAACTTAAAAACTGGGAGTTTTCTGTTGATGTATAGAAGTTACGACAAGAAGAAAAAGAAGTTCAGTGAAAAGAGGCATAAAATGAAAGTTGGAGACATTATTATTATTATTATTATTATTATTATTACCTATGTCCTCTGAAGTCTGGGATCCCCTCTCTGCATTTTCAGCATCATCCAGAGTCCTGATGGAGTCGTTCTGCTCACTGCCACTGCTGTTTTCAACATCTGGCTGTGGAGGTGCAGCAGACCCACTGCTGCTGTTGCTGGGGATCATCTGACCAGTTTCTTCTACAAAAGAACAACTTCATTTTTAGTTGTTTTTTTTTTCTTCTTTTAAATTGGATCAAGGCAATTTTTTTAAGCTTTAAAGTTTTCACCAGAAAAAGTCAGATGAACATGTTTTGCTGGATTGGAGGGAAACATTCATAAAATATTCATTCCCTTCAGAGCACTGTATCCCTGAAAGTACTTTCTGTTCTGTTTTGAGCAGTTTCAACTTTTACAGCTCTGAAGAATTGAAATTCATACTGGTGTTTAAGACACATTCATATTTCATCCAAGACAATTTTTTTCCTCCAGATGCACACACAGAGAACCCTCTACTGAGGCTTTGTTTTGCATTTAGAATTCAGACTTCATAAAATCTGGTCTTCCTGCAACTCCTATGATTTTCCCTCTTTTGGCTTTCTTGTGTTTTACCTGTCCCTCAAAGCACAGACCTTTCAGTTCCCCTTGTTTACCACAGAGTTGTTGATTGTCTCGTCTTCAGCTCATTAATTCTGAGGAATCCCCCAGATTTCAGTTCAATTGGCACCACTGGAAATATCAGCCCTCTTATAATATCAGCCCCTTCCTTACAGTCTGATGGGTCTCCATGTGGGTTCTTGCTCCCCAGTTGTCCTTGTTTGTGTGTCTTGACACTGTGGGATTATTGTCACCTCACCTGTTGTGCTGCCCCAATAGGACCTTTGGACTAAACATCAGTGACCTGGAGCTTCCTCCAAATAAACCACTCCACATTCCCAGCAGGAACAAGCCCCTGTCCCTCAAACCAGCCATTTCTTCTGGATTTTGTGCTAAAGAGACACAGTTCAGCTGGTTAAAAACTACAAGATCTTTCTGTTTCCAGAATCCTCCCAAAACATCAGGAATTCTGTTGTTGTTAAGAAAGGCGAGAGAATAAAAACCTGATTTTTGTGGAATATTCACCCCTAGCAGCAAGATTAATATTCTGGGATTCTTAGAGGATCCTTAACCTGAATGCATCTTCATTTCTGGCTTTGTCCAGTGGGTGACCACCCCTATTGACCCACTTCCCTTTTTACTAATGGAACTGTTTTCATGCCTGTTTATAGAATGGAAGCACCCAAATCAGACCTTAATTAATTAAGACTAATATCCAGATTACATTTAACAAGGATGGTGACAGACATTCTCATCTAACTTTGAATTTACTCTTATTTTCCCCCTCTTTGGGTGGAACTGCCTCACTGATCCTGGTTCAGTATCCTTCCCTCCCTCTGAAAGGAGAGTCTCAATCTGGAATTTCATAGTAGGAACACAAGCATCATGGTGAATATAATAAATTAGACACAAGGAAAAACCCTCTCCACACACACTTTCCTACAAAAAAATAACCCACTAATTTAACTTCCAGAAGCTTTGGAAGGAGAAAAGTACTTGTGAAAGTATAATAAATAACGAAAAATACATAAGTAAATCTTTAAAATAAAATACAAACCCAGAAATGTGTCTGAAACCAAATTATAAGATATGTATCTTTCCAATTACACCTCAATTTAACAACTTTAAAAGGGAATAAAAAAATATGAGAACAGGCAAAAATATTTGGCCAAGTATCTAAAATATGTGGGGTTTGTCTCATGCACTAAGACATTTTCTGTACTAAAAGGGTGTATTATGAGGCTTCCAGATTACAGATTAATCTTAATTTTTATTTTGTCCTCCTGTTAAGAAAGTCTATTACAAGGTTTGGATGCACTGACTTTCACAAGTTCAAGGACTACAATCTGTCCCTGCATGGAAAACTATTTCTGTAGGAGGGAAAACATTTACCACCACTTTTTAAAACATAACACACTGAGTATGGCCACAACACAGATTAGAGCATGTTTAGATTTTGAAGAACTGAAAATAAAATCCTCATCATTTGAACAGTAATCAGCTGTTTAGAACAACACTTGGTTATTTGGTAAATCTTGTACAGAATATAATTCTAAATGTAATAGAAAATAATTCTGAAATAGTGCACTGACAATTTAAGTTACATTTAGTCAAGTCCCATTTATTCCTAAAGCAAAAGTTTGGTTAGGTTATTTTAATTAAATAATATATATTATGTCATTTGAATCATGACATGGCAGAACAAAAAACACATTAAAACACAAGAGCCCCTGTGCTTACAATTCTTCAATCTGTTTAAAATTCCTACCATGACAATTTTAACCTTGAATGAAACTTTTTTCACATTGAATGAAAATGCTTTGTTTGTTAGTCATTTATACAGTAAATGAGAGGTTAAAATAATAAACGAGCCAGTAGCAAATTAGAATTTGAAATAAACTCTGAGAGGACGCTAACAATCATCATGGATCACTATGGAAAAAATAAAATATAAGGAAAATAGAAAATAAAAAGCTTAGCCATAGTCATCTTCAGAAGGCATGGAAACAATGCTCTTGTCACAGAGGATCACGGATTTCAAGCACCAGTTGCAAGAAAATTAACTCTGAAATGTTAATAATGACAACGTAGCAGTAAGGATGGCACTGCAAGCAAACAGCATGAGTGATATACACTGGGAATGGTTTTAGTGGACAAATCAGAGAGAAAACCTTCACAGATTCCCCAAATTACAGAGGCCTTGGTAACAGTGCCCTCTGTACCTGAGAGTTCCAGGGGGAGCTCTGGTGCCACCTTCTTCTCTGCCACGTTGTTGCTATCAAGGGTTTCTGACTGACACCCCACGTTCTTCCCTTCAGGGCAACTACTGTCTCCTGCAGAAGGATTTGTGGTGTTGTCATCAGTGCTTGGTGTCACACAGTTACTTTTATCCCCAACGACTGTTGCCTCTACAGTAAAACCACAACAAAACTTTAGGGATATTCTTTATTATGCCTTAGGATGTCATTTGGCATCGTCCATAGAAAGCAACTGCAGCAGCTTTTTGGTTGGTTGATAATGCTGAAAAATATGGAGTTTTTTCCTTTTCTTTCCTTTTGCTATGAGACAGTATTGTCTCAGAATCAAAGAACAAACCCCCTGTGATGAGGAAAAAGTTAAAAATGATGTAATATGGCTTACTATAAACCTGTTGATCACAACCTGTAAGTGCCTCCTGTACCTCAAGGCAGGGGATCTAGAAGCTGCATAGAAGTAGGAAAATTGGTGCAATTACTTAACAAGAAAAACAACTACAACATGCAAGCACAAAGGAACTGTCAAATATCACCTAATTCAAAAATATCTTAGAGAATCATACCAAAAAAAAGCATCACATTAACACTTAAAGAAATGTGAAGCTCTTAACTAAAGATTCACTTCACTGAAATGGAGCTGTTAAAGCACAGTCAGATTTGTTTTACCTTCTGTTTTCTCTTTTTCCACATCTTGCTCATTCTGTGTTTCCTCAATTTTATCTTGATCTCCAGATTCTTCCTTGTCTCTCTCAGCATCTGTCTGGTCATTATCACCATCACTTTTCGCCTTTTCTCCTTCATCATCTCCCGTGTTTTTATCTTCCACTATTTCTCCTTTTCTTGCTCTGATGATGTCCAAAATTTCGTCTACAACAGAAAGTACGTTGTCATCAATAAATAAACAACCCCCTACAGAGCCACAGAGCACAAATAGCACGACATAAATCCTGCTTCTGATATGAAATAAATTCAAAGTGCAACATTTATTCCCATTAAAGAAAATATTCTTACCATTTGCTGCAGAAAGGAAAGACTTGTTGTTGCCCCTTGCTTTGTTTGTGAGATCTTCTGTCACGTCCATGTGCCGATGAACCTCCTCACGCATCTCATCCAGGGTTTTGCATAGGTCAGCTTCCCAGTAATCTTTGTCCAGGCATTCAATCAACTCTGCCAGCTGGATCTTTGTGCTGTAGTACCAGATTTTCTTATCCTTCTCACTTTCTGAATCTTCCTCTCTGTAGGAGTATTTAAAAAATATTCATTTTAAAATATCTGGATAAATGACAGAGATTAGTATCAGTCTGCCTTCTGCAGGGAACTATTAAATACCAGTACCTGATTGTGAACAAACAAATTACATGTGGACACTTGTATGCACCCAGTTTAATACTCAATATTCCCTTTTTGCTTCCCTCCCTGTCTTCATTCCCTCAGTTCTCCTGACAGCTTCCTTGGGAAAGCTTCTGAAGAGTCTCCTCAAAACCTGTTAGTCCAATCTGACAACAAGATTTATTCTCATTATATTTAGTATTACTGTAACCAGTAATTTAATACTAAGTCTCAAACAGTTTGCAATGAAAGAGGGTATGGGTCCAGAATCCCTAGTGGGTGGTGTTTGTAACTGCATGTTCAGGAAAGAGCACAGTTAGAAAATTCAAAGAGTAGAATTTCACACTCATAAAATATTTTATATAGGCATCTCTACAACATCCACCTGTGAAGCACCAGGAAGGGACAAGAGTCATAAAACTCTCCTTTGAAAAGATCATGGGATTTCCACTGTTTTTATCTGGGTTATTCCATGACCCCACAAGCCCAAACAGAACTACTGGAGGCCCACAGTGCCAAAAGCACCTCAGCAGGGCCACCAGATCCGAGGGAGCTCCACAAATATCTCAGGTAACAGGTTTTCCTGGAGCACTGGAGAGCACAAGGAGAACACTCTGGACTTCAGCCTGGCTTGTTCCGCCCTGTTGAGCAGCAGCAGCAGCTCCAGGCTGGCCCTGAGCCCAACCATTCACCTCCACAGCACATCCCAGTGCTCCCCACACCGAGGGGGTGACGCTGAGTTACCACCCGGCCTTCACTGGGGAAAGGAATTCAACTCCTGCTGCACTTGCACCACCTGGCAAAGCACTGCAGGCCTGTGGCTCACGGATAATCCTAATCCAAAGTGTCCATAGGAATGGAAAGCTGAGGGCAGTTTGAGAGACTGACCCTTGTGAGGGCTGTTGCAGGTTCCTCTCTCCTGGCTGCCTCCCCGTGGCTTGGAAAGATGGTAAAAATTGGCCTCAGGGACTCAGAAAGACAAACAACCCTAAGGCAACTTCCACAAGGTATTTCTGAAACAACTAATATTTGCAACCCAATCAGGATACTACTGAAATAAGGTGGTTATGAAGCTAATTATGGTAATACTGCTCAAAATTCAACTACTCACGTGTCACAACCATTATTACAAAACAGACTTTTGCTTTTGATGAAAAAAACTGGTTTATCGCAAAGAAATACTCTCGTCTCTCTCATAAAGGCATTTGCTCATGAAAAGCAACTCATTCTACTTTACCCATTCATTCCTCTAAACTGCCAACATTCCCTTTGTTTTAACCACACCGACCTGTTACACTTGACAAGTTTTCTCAGAAAACAGCTCATTTCAGGAAGACTGTCCACATACAACACCAAAAAGTAACACCTGAACACTGACAATCCTTTGACTCCATGGAATATTCTGGGCCTGTGAACTTCCATGTTAAAGAAAAATTACTGTTTGAACCATGTTTCCTCTAAACCAAGAGTTATTTACTAACAACAATAGGAATGACAGCGCTTTTCATTATTGGTGGTGAACAAAAGCCACAGCAGAGGAAGATAAAGGCAAACACCCAAAAACCGAGATGGACGGGGGGATGAGAATGCAAGAATAGAGCTTTATACAGCCAGAGAAAATAAAAGGATGAAACAAAATGGGAATGTATCCCTTCTGAGCTTTCCCTGGCATATTTCCAAGGGAAGTGGCAAGTGCAAGACCCCGGTGGAGCGGCGATTGTAAGGCTGCCCCGCTCCTGACAAAGGGGACTGCAGAATATGAGGCTGTTTATTTCTTAACTCACCAAAAGGGGAACTTTAACCTTTCATTTTGAATGCCTACAGGATTATTTGCTAGAGAAATAATGCCATTTATACATCTTCTTATATGACCTAGATATGCAACAATGTGAATGCTTTATATGGAATCACAGAGTCACTTGAGTTGGAAAAAACATATAAGATTAAATCTGACCGTATATTCCCATCAGTCCATGAGGGAAGGCTGTGCCTGTACTCATTGCCCAGACAGGCAGCTCAGGCACAGAGGCTTGTACATCTTGCTTCAATGTTGATGGTGATCATCCAAGTGTTTTCTCATTTTCATCCTTCTCCCCCCTGTCCAGCAAATCCATGCTAATGCATCCAGGATGTGTGTTTGTGTCACCTGAACAGCCCAAGCAGCATCTGGCTTTTCCTGTTCACTCAGACCTTTCTATTCTAGTGTTACAAGGTTCCATTGGACTGCAAAGCAATTAGCTGCTGTCTTCAATTTCCCTGGATAACTCAAGAGAAAGCCTTCAGCACCAGGAAAGGTTTGCAGGCCAATAAACCCCGGGGCTCATGAGAATAGCAGAGACACCAGAGCACCAAGAGGGTTCTGCAGAAAGCACCTGGAGCCAATCCTTCCACGTGTGATTCCAGTCCTGCCCTTAAAGAACTGCTCAGACAATATTCTAGAAACAGACAATGAGGTTGTCCAAGAGTATTTTAATACCCTTCTGCTTCATTTATCTCGGGGTTTGAGCAGAGAGTTTGTTTTGAACTGAAGGCTCTCACAATCTTAGCAGGAGAATTTCAGGAATTAGTTTTCTCTTGAAAAAGCACAGGCAGAAAATGAAATGGCACAAGCTGGCTGGTCTGTGCTTCCACCAAACTCATCTCTGGCCAGACATCTTGTCCAGATTCAGGGGGGAAGCCTTGGAGGATGCAGCAGAAATCATTCCACGCAATCCATTCTGGCCAAGTTAGTTCAGATTTAAATTAACAATTAAATGATTTATAGTAACTTTCCCTGACCATCTTGTTGCATTTGCTAAAGGGACACTACTTTTACCCTCGGAGGAAATCAGGGGGGCTGTCATAAAGAGAAGATGGAAAGATCCAGGGCTGCACAAGGACCGATTCCCACTGTTTTTCTCGGACGAGCCAGACGGATTTGCCAGCTCGGTGCTGCACAGGTCCAGTGAGTCTCCAGGGGACTCAGCTGAGTCACATACAATGTGTGAGGCCAAGGAGGGAGAAAAGGATCACATGAGCATTTCCTACCTCTTTCAGCCTCCTTGGCTGCCAGGAACTATTCCCCGGCAGGCTGCAGAGACTGATAAAAACAACAGCACAGAAGATGCTCGAACTTTCAAGTAATAATGAAATAATAGTGGTAGTAGTAGATACAGCCCTTCCTAAACTCCACGCTGATACAATTAGAAACTGAGGAATTCAGTTAATTGTTTAAAGCAATCCATTCAAATGAAGACCCAAACCCTTGTTAATTAATTGGAGAAAATAGAGGAGGACCCGCTAAGAACATAAACAGCATGACAAATCTTGCTGCAAAAACGCTGAAGCTGCTTTTGACTGTCGAGGAAGAGCCACACAACTCAGGAATAACAATGTGTGCCCTATTTCTGCTATCAAAATGAAAGCCACACACTGTTTCTTTATCTTCTTTCACAGACACTTGATAAATCCAAAGCATCTCAATATTTATAGAAAGATAACTGGTTAAAACGCTGCAGGAGTTTACTGGGACAATGCAAGTCCAAGTCCTAAATTTCCAGAGTTGTTAACTTGTAGAAATAATCTTCACAAGTAAAACAAATACAATTGACCCAGAGGCATCAGCCTTAATTTGTAAACAGCTTGAAACAAAAACCTCAGGAATTTTCTCTTGCCCTTTTTTTTTTTGTTTTAATCTTGCTGATATTTATTCATGGGCATTCATGAGGAGAACCCCCTCAGTGGCCACTTCTCCATCTTTGTAAAAGAGAAGAGGTGGAAAAGAGAAACAAAAACACAATGAAGGGCTTAAACAAGGCTTATTACGCTCAGCAAGTGATGGAAATAAAAGTATCAGGGAACAACAAGCCTACAAAACCCTTTAAAAGGTGACAAAACCAGTGGTATGATGGATCTATGATATTTAAAGGGGGAGAGGGGAGAAGAAGTAAAAAGCCCTAAAAACCCTTTTGAAAAACAAGCCCACCAAGAATTTAGGATTTCAGCTCTTTAATCCCCCTGGGCAAGATATCAAATGGGTATTTGTGCAGATTATTTTCAGACCTATTAGTTTCCCCTGATATATTTGATCACATGGCACTGGGGAATACATTCTATTCATTTTAATAAAGTTGATATGATAATATCATTTCATGAATCTCAGGTTTTAGCACTTGGCAGCCATTCTTTAAGGTATTCTTCAGTTATCCAAGACATCAGGGGTAGTTTGATCTTTCTCAGTGTGTAACTATATATATATATGTCTATATGTGCAAATTGGTTGGGTTTGCAACACAAAGTGCTTACTGAATTCAAAGGCCATTAAAAACTGCAAGTACAGAGTTTAATATCCATATGAGTTACTAAAGTTGAATTCCCCTGGAAATTCGTTGTGTAGTACATACTTTTGTCCCCCTATGAACTGGTTTTAGTATAGTTTTAAGGCACACTGTCCATAAATTTAATTATGCCAAAATTCCCTGAGAAGTCCAGAGGAATTGGCTGATTCTGTTCATCCCACACTGCCCAGTTCAAGCACTGCCAGAACCATCTTCATCAAACCTGATTTATTACTTCTGAAACAAATACTTTGCCCACAGAACTCCTAACAGGAATGCCAAAATGCTGTTTTTTTAAAAACTCAGTACATTTAACCTTTGAAGATGCCTCTTCTAGTGCAGTTAAAATTACTACCAACGTGAGAAACAACCCTCACATGGGCAAATATCAAAGGATCACGAAGCACCTACAAGATTTATTTTAGTTTAAAACATGTTCAGGTATTGCCTGTATCAAACCCACCACAATATCAAACACTCCACTGGGAAAAAAACACATTTTTTCACAGATCAAGTTTAGTTAAAAATAATTACCAATCTGCTACATATAGGGAGGAAACAAAGTCTGCCTATTTATCTTAAAATCACCTCCTGAGTGAGTGACTCTGGATTTTTTTTTATGTGAATTCCCAGACCTCTGCCAGCACAGTAGTGAAGAAAACCCCATCTTTAGAACAGCTTTGCCCTCAAGAGTTTGAGAAGAAAGACACAAAAACCATACACAGAGGAGACTATAAGTTATTAAAGCACAAGTAAGTAGAGCAAAAATAATCCCAGCTCTGTGTCCTTCACAACCAGGCTTTTTGTGGAAAAAAAAATAAATCAAACTTTCAACACATTTTCTGGAAACAGAAGGTAGAAAATTCTGTCTGAGGCAAAGAATTGGGATCTCAACAGCTTCAGGCTGCCCATCACATCCTGGGGAACCATCTGAATGATCCACCACTTACTGCAGAGCATGTGACTGAGTATAAACATGAAGTGTAGAGATAAAAAAAAAGGTAAGAGTATAAAAGATGCTCTGCCTCCTTTAAAAGATCACTTGAAACTACTGTGGCATTTATAGCCCAGAGAAACTAAAAATGATCAAACGTTCACTCTTTTTTTCCAAGTGTGAAAGGAGAACACAGGGAACAAAGAGCAGCAATAATTAATACTTAAAGCATCAGAGCCACACATTCTGAAGGACTACCATGAGACCTTAGAAGTGTCTTCTTTGCAAGATGTAACACCATCAACAGTCCCTTTTAAAGACACTGGTTACTGTCTTAACATCCACTGTGACCTGTTTGGTATGAAATTCTGTCAAGGTACCCAGTTGTGGCTTATTTTCTCCACACTGAATGGAAAGCTTTTAAGAAATCTAGTAAAGTCTCTATTTCTCATGAAGTAACAATACCATTGATGTCACTTAAACATTATTTCTCCTCCATTATGAGAACAATTAGATAATAACTGTCTTTTATTAAAAAAACAATCTTTAGCTATTTTCTTGTGAAACTCCAGAAGTGTTTTTATAATTTCAGATTCAAATTTTCAGGTAAAAAATAACAGGGCACAATGCCCTCACTAAGAAGGGTTTGATTACTCATAATGTTTTGAGATACATTTGTATCTGAAGACCAACCAGGAACAGTAAAGTGTGTGAAACACAGGAAGCAGTTCCCTTGAAGACAGGCATGTCTTGCTATTTTGACTTTGTTTACACTGCAGAAGTGTTCAATGCAGCATTTCCTGTATTTCTATGGCGAATATCTTGGAGTGCCTCTAAAAAATTCAGCTTCAAAAGCATCAAACCAGTAGCTGGCAGCCAAACACCACCCAAGCAGTGATACACCACAACCAGTGTCCTGTCATAAAAAGAGTTCAACTTCTCTCCAGTAACTTCTGCAAGAAACTGGAAGGTTCTCATGAAAATTCCCTTCCTTTTCCTCACATTCATGTGTTTTAAGCACATTAATATTAAGCATGAGGCCTTGTTTTTTCTTCCTTTTCATATGTGGATTATGATAATATTAATTTTGGATAGATATGACAGATTAATTACATGGTCTTTAGCAACCTGCTAAACAGAACAGCAAGCAATGGATTTACCTAAAGAAAGAACAGCTTTTAGATGGCAACAGCAACTTACAGTATATATTAAAACACATCCAAGACAGTATTACTGTTCAGAAATTATTAGTTTACTCACATGATGATCCTCCTGTTCAGGAACCAGTATTTCCTCCTGTGCCTGTCGTATCCAATGGGTTCGTGTCGGATGTAGGGCTTGTTTTTTTGGATTTCAGCCACACAGTCAGTCACTCCAGGCACCTTGTGTGCCACACAGACCTCACACTGCCACTCGTCCTCGGGCACCTCCTCCAGGGGGGGTTTCACACACTCCAGGTGATACACGGCCGAGCAGGTCTCACAGCACAGCAAATCCCCGAGTTTGTGACAAACCCTACAATGATCATCGTACTGAATGACACCTTCTGACATTAACTCCTCCCGGGCAATGTTTGTGGTAAGGAACTGATCCACTAAGAACTGCAGGACTTTGATTTTATTCTCTACTGGTCCATAAGGATAGTCCTCTGTCTCTTGGTAAGGAAGAACATGATGGTATTCCTTGTCACTCTCACAATAAACCCGCAGGACCTCTGGCCACGTCATTCCATCTATGAAATACAAAGTGGAATTAACGCTATCTTTGAGGTCAGCAGGTCCAAAGGTAGTATTTGAAGTGTCTTCTTCACGTAAAACTGCTTTTAAAAGCACTATGTGCATCTCTGCCATAAGTGTGCACTGCTCTTGACTTACCAGAGCAGCACAGAAGTCCTCAAAACGAAAAGGAGAGAGGCGTAAAACAGTGCCAAAGTTCCTTAGTACCTCATAGATGGCAATAACATTCATTATATGCTCACTAGGCACCATTAAGTCCTCTGAGGATTTAGGAAACTCCAAGGGTGGGATATCTTTCTCTTCCAGTATCGGAGAACGAGGACGATGTGCTCTTTGTCTTCTCCTACCTGGAAAAAAACCAAACCAACAGTCAGGATTTTGCTCTTCACAGGTCAACATGTTTAAACATCAATGACTGTCTCACACTGCAAACTATTGCAAATTAAGGATTTACAATTTCACAGTTACATAAGTGTGACAACTCAGCCAATAATCTTGTATGGAAATAAAATCCCAGATATCTGAAGTTGTGCTTTAGTCACCAAGTGCAGTTGCATTTCCCTTACAATATACATCTACTAAATCTTTAAAATGACATTTAGAAATCTAATTGTAGGAATTACTTAGAACGAAACACATTTCCCTCAGCCAGAAAAATAATAATTTAGAGATTCTTCTCATTTTTCTTCAGCATGACTTGTTTCAACTTGAAGCATCAAGCTCCAAACAACAGATATTTTGTACTAAAATATTGCAAGCTCTTCTCCTATCCAGCAACAGCATCCAGGAAAGCTCATTTCAAGCAGATGTCTTTGGACACTGATTTCAACCAGATGAAAATACAAAAGAGAACCTAAAGCACTTTGTCCACTGCTTTCTAACTAGGATATTTCACCTGGATATCTACATGTGATGTTTTATGAAAATATTTCAAAAATTCCTGATTTCTGAAAACAAAACAAAGCAAAACAAATTAACAAACAAATCAACCAACCCAAAAAAAACCCCCAACCCACTCTCGTGCTTCAATAAAACAGGAGTAATATCCACAGAATAAGAGGCAAAATTATGGAAGGACAAAGCTTAACACAAAAGGCTAAACTAAAGAGCTGTTTTACTACCTAAAAGACACTGAGCATAATTAATTCAGTCTCAGATGCCAATTCAGATAAGAATTCCTTCCCTTTAATTTCATTATCCTTGATGCCAAGCAGAAGGAAATAGAAAAGAGGAAAGTTTTTGTGCAGGACACTACCAGACAGGTGAAACATTTTAATTATCTACCAAAATAACAAAAAAACTATCCAGCAACATGCAACTATTTAGCAGCTAATGGGTAAGTTTTAGGATGTACTCATTAAACTTACTTCCATTTTTAGAAAAAAGCCAGTTTAATCAAATGGGACAACCTCATAAACCATCATATTGGTTTAATCCAAGAACTGAACTCTGGTAAGCACATGAAGATTCTGGCCAACAACTGAATTTCAGAATTACCCCCATAAATACAGGAAACAAGTCTAATGGGGGAGAAAACCTGCTAAGGCAGGTCCTGCTGAACCTTAAACACCTTTAACTTTAATGCACTGAAAAAGGGAAAAAAAAATTACCAGAAAGAAAAGCTACCTTTAAGAAACATCTTGATGCATAACAAATGATTCCAGAAGAAAAATAAATTAATTCCTGAGCTGATATGGCAAAAGGATCCCAGATAAACTCTCCCTTTCCAACTTAAAATAATTAAATCTTACGCAACAAGTTACACACTCAAACAATATAGATGAACTGCCAGATGTTTCCATTGCAGAAGTAATGGGTCAACATCATCTGAGGGTAAAAATAACTTTCCAAGTTTAGTGAAGTTGGAGTTGTGACTGTGGAAAATGAAAGAATGCTTCTATGACTGTCTTCCAACATGCATTAATCAGTGGAAAATGTTTAATCATGGCAAACACACCAAGACACAGGAGTTTCACAGCCAGGCCCAAAGCAAGAGCTCTCTAGATGAAACTCAGCTTTTCTATCACCATGATCCAAAATCACAGATTAATTAAACCAGCTGTGGTTTGTGCAAAGACCACAAAGCAAAAATCACACTCACACATTAAACTTCTTCAGGGCCCTGAACCTTCCTTCAATATTGTGTGGGACCAGTCCCAGCTGGCCATGCAGGACATCAACAACACAGAACAGAGACTCTGAGATCACTGATGGTCCTCCCAGAGTCCAAATATCACAAAGCCAGCAGAGTTATCAACTAGGATTCTTTCCAGTGTTTGCAACTGTAGCAGAAAAATGTATCTGTCACACAGCAAAGCCATAAAACAGCCCTTCAAGAAATAGAGCAGCAAGGCCCTTTCCCCTGCTTTACCCAAATCCATCAGGAGTGACAAACCCCCCTAATTTCAGACAGAGGCAAACTGCAATAAAGGACCACTGCTGAAAGAACCAAAGGCTCCTGATTTCTTCTCATGTGCTGAGGTTTTTCCCCTTCAACAAAATTCTATTTGTTCTATGCATAGTTTTTCCCCCTCATTAAAGAATCAGACTCCCAACACACCCCCTTTGCTCATGTCTCTTTGCCAAGAAACAACCACAGGTATGGAATCACAGAATAACTGAGGTTGGAAAAGACCTTTAAGATCATCAAGTCCAACTGTCAACCCATCCACGTTCACCACTAAACCACGTCCTCAAGTGCCACATCCTCTGAACGCTTCCAGGGGTGGTGACCCCACCACTTCCCTGGGCAGCTGTTCCAGTGCTTTACAACTCTTGCAGTGAAAAAAAATGTCTTAATACCTAATCTGAACATCCCCTGGTGCAATTTAAGGCCACTGTATTTGTCACATCAAAAAAGAACCCTAAAATAAGGCATTCATAGTATGTTCTGAAAAAATTAATCCCTAACACTTCCTCTATTGCAATCAGTTTATGTGTTTTCACGTTTGCACAGAAATTTCAAAAGTAATAATAAAACTAATAGTTGGGACAGTAAGAAACACACACTGCATTATAAAACACGTGCTTCCTTTGTCCACTACTTTGTGTTACACCTCACAATTGCAGCACATTAAAATACTCTCTCAACACTCCCCATCCACACTGTAAATCACACTCCACAGCTCAAGAGCTCCAATCATTTCTCTTTTCAGACACTGAACTGCCTTGAAGAATTCTGAACTGCATATGAACTGGTTTCCAGAGCTAAAAAAGGAAAGTATTCAGAGATGTAGAATGTCTTAGAAAAAACTGTATTTCTCTTGAATGAGTTGGTGGCACAGTATCTCAGATCTTTCTGTGCCGGCTTCTTTTCTTTCCAATTTCGCTTTCAATTTGTTATTAACATTTGGGGTACCAAGAACACCCCAGACACCTCCAAAAAAACAACAAAAACCTGCCAAAACCTCCAAACTAACCAACCCAAGCAGTCTAATAATCTCCAGTGAAAAGGATGGACATTCTCTGCCAAGGTGCTCATAAATCCTGAAGCATCTCTAAGTGGCCACTGAACTGAAATTAAAAGTGCAGGTCACTGGAATATGAGATAATGATGTCAAAGTGCTACAGCCTCTTTTTTTTGAGCTGAAATGTTTGTGTTCTACTGGTTGGGTGGACAACCTTCTTTCTTTCTTCACTGCTGATTATCTGCATGTGCTCACACCCCACCCAGCTCACCCTGCGTTGCAGCAGTTTCATTTCTGTGAAGGTTTTTGAAGATCACAGTCCATGTTTATCCAACTGTGCCTCAGAAACACATTAAAAAAAAAAATCCCTCAAACCTTGAAAAATGCTTTCCTACCATAAACACACCCAACTTTTCAAGCTCTTCACTTTCAAGGACAATCTTCTTTTCCACAAGGCAAATTGGAATTTGACATTCACTGGCAGACACAGCCCAGCAGAAAACTTGGGTCTCTTCATTTTGACTTTAAATTACTTTACAGATTCTAGGATTTGACAACAACTTTTTTTTTTTTTTAACTTGTCATTTGTCAAAGATTTTGGCCTCCACAGGGAATGTTTGTTTCAAGGAAAAATTGCAGTTTGTACTATTTTGCCTGAAAGGAAAACCACCAAGAGGATTCCAGAGCAGGTGCGTGAGCAGGTTCCTTCTGCTTTGAGCACCACCTGACTGAGCAGATTTTAAACTGAATCCACATGAATTTACTCTCAATTAAAGACATCTACTCTCAATTTACACACACTGCAGTCTCCTCAAACGTACTCAAGTTTTATTACATGCAAATTGGATACTTTTAAGATGGTTTTTGCATATTAACTAAGTCTCTGAATCAAATTTCACCTCCAAGTTTGAGGCAGCACAAAGGGAGAAAACATCCACTTCTGCACCACTCAAATTCCACAGCTTTATTTGGAAGGACAAATGGATTTGCCAATAGCCTCCTGCTGCCACAACTGGACTATTGACAGGATCCAGATCACCTTTAGTGTCTCAGCATTATATTTTTATCCAGCACAAATTTCTTTTAGCTGGCATTCCTTCGCTAGTTGTCTCCCAAAGTGCCCAAGCAGCCTGCACTGGTTACCTGTCCCTACTTTGAATTCTCTAGTTGAAGATTAAATTAAATCTGTAATTAAGATTAAAGAGTAAACAATTTTATTCCCATGGCAGATTTAATTATAGATATTGATAATTACAGCCTACACTTACAATGATCTACTAAAATAATTTATATTACAAATATTTAAACAAACACACTAATGATATTTGAAATAAAATAAAGTTACTGAACTAACAGTCTGAACACTCAGAACCAGAATTTACTTAAAAAACCCAAACACCTGTTTTATTTTTTTTTATATTTCCATCTATTCAACTTATTTGGTTCAAATGCTGACCTTTCTAAAATTTAGAAACGAAAAGGAGCTTGAAAGGACCAAAAAGCTTGACTCTACTTTCATTCACAGACTGAGAGAAGAAAAGGGAAAGTCACATCTATTCTTAACCACAGGAGAATACAGAACTTAAAACTACTTTAACCATCTTTAACATCTTATGTAGAGAGTTTTAAAACAGAGTATCTCAATGAACTATTGACAGTGTCCAGAATACAGAAAGGTTGGATCAGGACTAAATATGACTTTCATGCACTTCAGCTTTAGTTATTCCAATCACATGCAGCCAAAAAAAAAAATCCCAAAAATTCACTTCTGCCTTAGTGATGTTACACATCCCTCCTCTCCAGATGTACAGGACCAGTAAAGAGCCTTCCAATCCAATATATTCCAAATACTGGACTGGTGGATGGGATCCTACAGGACAAATGCTCTGCCAGAACCACTGTGTTGTTAGAACAGGGACAGAGTGGCTGCACTGGTATGA